TCTCATCTAAAAATTAATAATACATGATAATGCAAAATAAGTGCCAAGACTTAGAAACTTGAAAGGGATCAGAGAGGCAGTCGACTGCGCCAGCTGCCCACCTGCGCAGCGTGGCTGTATGCATCTGCTCCAGCGGGCTGAAATCCAGAATCCTGCAGGTGTGAGACGACTTGGCCATGACCTGGTCAGAGGTGAAGGTCTCACCAATGTCCTTCAGGTGCTGCTTCTAAGACATCACATATTAAGCGGAGGGGGGTTACAGACTCTGACCAATCACTAAATGGCTAGCATGCTGTCATAATCTCCCAAGAGGTATTTCATTCCTTGATTGCAGAAAACTTACTTGCTTTACCTGCGAAATTACTGCATGGCATGTTGGAGAGCAGCTGTCTGGTAAGGCTCGCAGTTTAAAGCCCTTTCAGACATGTACCCCCCCCCCCCCCCCGGAACTTTTCTAGACGTTGCCAAGAGGGACCATATGTATGAAGAATCAGTCGTAGGCGACATTAAACAGACTTTACCCTGCTAGGTCCCTAGTAGAAAGTCTGGGTAATTTCTGATTGACCCACATGTGTGAATGGAGCAGGAAACGGTCTAGAGAATTCGCCGTGAGCGAGTAGGTATGTTGATAAAGTTTCTATCATGCAACGGGCGTGAAAACAGAAGGGTACAAACAAACAAAGTACAATCAAGTTACAAACAGAGTACGTGAGTGCGGTGTAATGCAAACTAAGGCGCAGGTGGAACAGCAAACATCTCGGATGTGCTGTAAACAAAATAGCGCGATTTCTACAGTGTGCTTTTCCCATCATGCCCTGCTTCCTGCATGCTTCCGCCCCCCTCGCCTAAACCAGTGTTTCCAGTGGGTGTGAACGCATCTGACAGACAATCTCCAATAATGCCCCAACTTTGAAAGAGCAAATCTACCAAACGTGAGGACCTGATTCTCCAGACGAAGCCCGGAGTTCATGCGTGGAAAAAAAAGCTTTATTTTAAAGTCTAACAGTATATTTCCCAGTCACTCATGCTAATGTAATTTTTCTAGTTTCAGAGCAAGACTACAGCAGGAGCTTAAGACTCACATACACATAAGGAGAGCGAGACCACCCAGAGGTTTAGCTTTGAAACTGGAAAGGTACACAAGGACACATCTGTACGGGGGGGGGGGGGGGGGGGGGCAGCAACTCACATGCACGAAAGCCGCCATCTTCTCAGGCAGCTCCAAAATGGCTCCAGAGGCCGGATGCAAGGACGTCATCCTGCAGTCCTCAAAGACCTCGCCGATGAGGTCGCTGGTGACGGGCTCCAACAGCGGGCCTGGGTTGAGGAGATGCTCGCGTAGGGACAGCCCCATGGACCGAGAGGAGGGCTCGACGTACAGCACGCAGGCCTTCAACTGCAAGGCAAGGCAAGTTTGTTTATGTAGACGCAAGGCAACTCAAAGTGTGTTACAAAGGCAGAAGGATACATGTAAATGAGGAGATATTAAAATCACATTTCAAAGACAAAAACAAAACAGCAAACAAACAGCAAATTAAAGGCTGGTAAAATATCCCAAACTGCAGACAAAGCACGTCACAGCAACAAAAGGGTCCTTAAAGAGAGAAGGCGGTGCGTTTCTTGGTTGGGGGCGGGGGGGGCTTACAGTCTCTCCAGGGTTGTAGCTGGAGGCTTTGTCACGATCCATGTGCAGGAAGTCCACCGTGCCAGAGAAGGAGGAGAGGAATTCCAGAAACAGCCTGTGTTTGCCCACCTAAATGACAGGGGGAAAAGGCTCACCTCAGACGTGGGGAAGACTAACACTAATCCACTGAGAACACATGAATGATATAAAGAAACAAACAAGTAGATATCAAATACTTCTGAAAACCACATACATTTTTTTACGGGCGCACTGAACCCCCAAAAAAACTGGATTCAATATAGGGACAATTTAGGGACCACCTGGAACAATTATGCGCGTGAGCAGAGGGCAGGGGAGGAGCAACAGTAACGACGACGAGGTATAACCCAGGCCACGAACCTTCTGGACCTGCGCTTTGACCATCAGGCCGGGGAGAAGATTCCGGAGAGTCCAGCCGTGCTGAGTCTCCGCACAGGACTGGGTGATGGCAGAGGAGGTGGTGGCGAGGAGGACAATGCGGCCCTCGTTCTTAACCTCCTTTAGAACGCAGTCCACATGCTGGCCCACCTTGAACCCTTTGCCAAAAACACAGAGTGCATAGTAGAAGAGAGTAGATGAACATTCTCGTCAGATTACGAAACAGCACACGGGCCTTGTCCTTCTCACGTCACTGAAAGATATTATGCACTGCCAACAAGATCGTGGCCAAACCTGGACATTCTAATTTCTAAGTAACCAGTCCAAGAAAATGAAAATTCCCTCAAACATCGATTTATGCATGAGCTTAAATTTTACTACCATTAATACAGAAAACAGCCGCACATACATGTGGCTAATATAACTTATTAGGTGTAGGTTAACGTGTTGTATCTGTACTTACCCCCCTGTTTCGTAGCGCCCTTTACCTCCTTTCCCTTTGGCAAGAAAGCTTTGGTTCCACTCACACCAATGTCAACGAGAAAACCATGATCCTCAATGCTCTCCACGCATCCGCTGAGCATCTGTGACCAGAAGCAGGGCTCATTAGCACAGAAAATAACTAGGAGGGTCATAAAACTGCATAGCTTTCCATCTACAGAAAGCATTACATACAGCCCCCCCATCTCCAAATTTTTCATTACATGTGTCGTAAAGACACCAAGATGGCAGATCCCCTGATCAATAACAATACTGTAACCGACAAGTTTCCACTGGCCTACGCCCAGTGAGTTCTCAGCTGGTTCTTGAAAGCACGCCACCAGAACTGAGGAAAGTAACCTGACATTGTCTGCCGCAGACTCACCATTCCAGCTTTTAGGGATTCAGGGGTGAATCCTTTGTTCACCTCCTTTGGGTTAATAGATAGCCTGACGCTCGTATGTCCCTTCTGAGTGGTTTCCAAACCAGACACAACGCACCGGAGCAACTTTCCAGGAGGAAAAAGGCTGGGCAGTGAGGATATCTCCTGCAGAAAGTCAAAAATAAGTGTGCGGTTGGGTTCTGCATCGTAATTTTACATTATAAAACAGCACAGCAAAGCAAGTGCAGTCCTCACCTCCAGGCTGTCTTCCATCTCCAGCTGACTGGTAAGCATCTTTGTAAAGGATGCTGAGACATTGCCCACAGGAAGAAATCCTTTCAGACCATTTGGAAGACTGACAGTCACCTGGAAGTCAGTGACCTCCTTCACGCATCCCAAAAATAAGGTTCCGACTTTGATGTTCTGAAAATGCAAGATTAGAAGGATGTAATTTCATCCACTTCCTTCGTGACACAAGGAAACGGGATCTCAAAGCATACAGAAGCTGGTAAACAATTATTTTCGATGCGCAGGTTTCATACACTTGCCTTAAAACTGAGGATATCTGTGGCCTCTGCTGTGTTGAGCTTTAGCGAGCCCTCTTTGCTGCTCCTTTGCTTCTTCGCACCCTTTGCGTCGCCTTTGCTCGATTTTCGTTTTTTTACTTCTGGCTCACATATCTGTGAGGAACAACACAGTCATTTAGCCTTCAGCAAGAAAATGGCAGCGAGCGGCCTAATACCATGGGCATAAAGGCCACCGAGTTAGCCAGGTTAGCGTTCAGGAATGTATTCAACCAGTCTTACTTTAGTGTATTCAGCTGCATTAGTTACTAAACTGCAACAGAAACAAAGTGTAAGCTATGCAAATGTCTTGGCATAGATAAAACGTTGTGGCAACTTGAATATAAGGGAAAGCATATGAAAACTAGCCTTCACCATCATCCTCCTAAACATAATTGAAAATGCATTTCAAAGACACCTAGATTTTGAAAAAAATCTGTGCTTCATAAGTAACACTGCAAGCACTTGCAAAAAGTGAGGATGATGTAAGGAAAGTGTAACTATATACAAGAAGATGAGATTGAAAGACATGACAAATGGCAGTGTTTATGCATGTCATTTTCTTCATCAATTAACCAGCTACAAGCGCAAGTTAAAGCTGCATGTTCCTAAGCAAGTGAATAAGATGATGTATCAGTTTTTTTTTCTTTATTTCAACTGATATAGTGACGGTCTTTTCATAAACCTACCTGAAATAAGTTATCCACTTCAATGCGCTCGACAGTTGATTTACTTCCAGCGGTCTTCTTTGAAGTCCCCCCGCGTGGGAAATCCTCTTCTAACGATGCCATGTTACACTTTTTGCGTTGGAAAAAAATCAGGGATATTATCGTATTAGCAATAATGAGAACTAAGATGCAGTTTACAGCAGTGATGTATGTACGATTTGTGATCGCAATACTGGATATCTGACTGGACACTTGATTTAAAGATTTTGGTTACAACTTAACCAATTCTTTCGTTTCAAGTATAATTCATATACAAATTTCCGCTATCCTGACACTAAACGTAACATGGTTGCTAAATCAGATCAATGATTTGATGCATAATATTAAATACTATTGATATTCTAGTTGAAACTCTGAAAAAGACCGGATCAATACAGTAATTCAATAAACCATAACCGAAACTTCCATGACAAAATGTCCTACAAACATAAATATCTTCAAGACATTAAATCTGTAAACAGCTGTTAAGAAAAATAAATATACTGCCTACCTTCACCCTCTACCCGCAAAATGCACATTGAAATTACAAATCCACACGTGCGTGCCCCGGAAGTAACTGAACAGCATAAACGGCGCCGCCTAGCGTAACGAATAAAAATACCAACCAATCGGATGTTCCTTTCTCAAGGGGCGGAATATTTCGGTTGCTGGCTTCCTATTTACAACGGAAGCGCAGGTCTGTAACCAATAAAAAGGAATTATTCAAATGATTGGCATCACCTTTACTTAGGGCATAACTGTTGATTGAAGTTTTTTTTAACCAATAAATTAACAGAATACTTTTCCTATTCGCCTATCACATATCATGCAAATTAGTTATGTCACAAAAGGCGGGACTTCCTCTTCACAGTTCCCTTAACCGCTTTATGAAGGACATACTGTCAGGCTGAAGAGGAGATCGACTAGTAGGTATGGGTTCATTTATTTTGTGGAGGTTTGACAAGCATACTTCTTCGGCCTATATTTATTTGCTTTTTATAGTGTTCATTTTTTATTTATTGACTGCAGTAAATCGGACGATGTGTGGATTTATATTGTCTCATCGATTACATAGCATCCAGCTAGCCGATCGGCTAATCACGGTGCAAAACGGTGATCATACTGGTTGTTTTGAATGTGTGAAAAAATAAGCTAACGTAAGGCGTTTATGACATATCCTCAACTCGTGTAAAACTGCAGCGAACTCGCTGACCATGGCTATCTCGTTAGCTAGACCTATAAGAACCTCTCCTTTGCTAGCAGGGCCTTTCACATCTATGTCATGTTTCTGCAGTGGTTGGTTAATGTCGTAAATACAATAATGTAATTTTTTTTACATAAATGAGCAAATTTTATGCAGTTTCAGCTCCTTTCTAAAGAAAAAATATTTATGCGATGAGTTTTTTTACATTACTTCTTATGTCTTTTATACTACAGAGGCCGTATTCACCATGGCAGGGCACGATGCTGGATCTCAACACCAGTTTACTGGTTTCTCAAAGTACTTCAATTCATATACCCTCCAGGGAAGGAAAAATGTAAGTTTTCTGTTTACCCCCAATATTTATTAAAATATACACATTAGATACAAATGCCTGCTTTGTTCCATGGCATGTTTTACATGTGTAATAACGCGGATAAGGCCAAAACCTTTGTGTTCTACCTTCTCTTCTACAGCTGTTTTCTGTTTAATAAATAACTGCTTTCATTGGATGTTTTAGTGTGTCCTGGCTACATATGCGGGGATTGCTGCAATTTTCCTCTACTTTAAACTGAAGCCTAAGAAACAGAAGCAAATTGCAGAAAAGTAAATATTGGTAAGTAATTGTAGATAAGTGAGCAATTCCTTCTTGCATGTGTAATGTTTTTTTTTCTGAATTAGTCTTTCAAAATGCCATGGTGCTTTAGTCTGGTTGAGATGTACAATTCTTGGATCGGTGTTAATCTTTTAAACTCCCCCCCCCCCCCTTCCTTTTCACAGGTTGTCCTGTCTGTGCTCTGTTGTATAGAGCAAGGTGAGGGTGATGTATGGCTTTGATCTCTTCAGTTGCAGAATAAATTGATACCCAACATAGAAAATGTCTTTATTTATATAACATCCCTCTATCAGGACTATACACACTTTCATAAACTTGGTAAAATAGATTAAAAATGGCTATGAGCAGAAGTCATTAAAAAGAGGAGTATCTTAAAAGTAAATCAGAATGTGGAGGAAAAGGAGTAAATTCAAACCACTTGTGGGGTGGCTTGTCATTTTCTTTTTAGGACAGTGTAAAAACTTACATTCAATCTTCAAGTCTGGGGATTAGAAGCACCTGCATCCAGACGTAGATTGCGGTGTGTAAAATGTAGATGAATAACAGGCCTTGATTTTCTTGTATATGTTCCCAGCAGGAGTTCCTGGGAGTTCTCTGCTAAATGGGCATGGTCTGTCGTGGCTGTAAAATTCTCAGTTTCTATGTCCTCGAATACTTTGATGGAGTCCCAGAATCGCACTAAATTATCCATGGAACCAGTTGATGTTGGTATTAAAGCATGTTACATCTAAAAAGGAAAATTCATGGCATTTGTATTCAGGTTGTAAAATGAATATTCAAATGGTATTGAGACAAACCCTCTCCATCCCAGCTCAAAGGTGGCATCATGACCAAGAACATAAAGGACCAGACACACTAAACAATACAATGATAAATACAGTCTGATGTAGATATCAGGGAAAGTTCCATAAATTATTAATTCAAATCAGTAATCAAAAATCTAATAACATAAAGGGTGAAATTATGGTAGGGCTGTTTTGTTTATCTAGCCCATAATACAATTACAATACAATTGTTCTGCGGTGTATAAAATGAGAATCATGTTCTTGGTGGGTTTCCCCTTTAAGTGATAAATCCTCTTAATGCAACATGGAAGATTAGTGCAGCTTCCTTACCTGTCGGGACTGAAACTTACTCAATATACAAGGCCACTGTGTCCATATAACATCTTAGACTCACTTGCTGTCTTTTTGTCCATTATCCTTTCCAGTCATCATCAGTCTTTGTCAATCAAGCTCAAATCTAGTACAAATACAGCATCAGTGAGCAGCTGACCAAATCAAAATTCAAGCAGTTGATTCACAGTGTCAGCAGATATTAGTGGAAAGGCTTAAACAGGTTATCCATAGTGAATGATTATTTGTTGCCTTCAGCCTTGTGTAACAGACCTATTGCACCTCACTGATGCTGTTTGTTGACCGTGGCCTCAACCTACCTGCAGCTGACTTGACAGAGTGCAGTATCTTGGGTGTGACACTCCACACACATGGTGGAATCTGCAGAGCCACCTGCTGTCAGACTGGAATCAACTGTGAAATCAACAGCAGTCACACAAGGACATTTTGAGAAAATCTACTCCGTAAACGGTCTTACTGTTTCTACACTCAACCTCATTGATTTTACATAAGTTGTTTTGCTTACATTGTCATAAAATAGCTCCATATATATATATATATATATATTTTTTTTTTTTACCTTGTCCGCACTGAGAAATGAGTAAAAGCAGATGAACGGCAACGGCAGTTGAGTCCTCTGTGACGGTGACTCTTTATGCTCAACTGGTTGGTTGAAACAAAATCCTGGTCTGGATTTGTATTCTCTGGACCTGAAATCACCACCTCTGCTCAGGACCCTGTGTCAGTCCTTCAGCTCCAGAAAAGGAATTCTAATAGACAATCAAGGAGTTCAGCACCACATCATTAATATCACAACTAGACCATTACACGGACTTCAATGCTGCAAAAGGTACAGTTCTGTGCAAAAATCTTGGGCCGTGAAAGAAAATGATGTTCAGATGATCTTCATGTTGGTGTAGGACTATAAAATTATGTCCGTCAAAGCGTGTCAGCTTAGTCACTTCAAAACCTCTCTCCTAAAGTCACCACAGTATTTGCAGCAACCATCCAATACACCCATGTTTTGTCAATCGTGGGTCTTGAACTGCGTCGAAGTCTTGACTTGTTAACCTGAAACCTACAATCTACAATCCTAGCGGCGTTTTAAGTTTCTTTTTCGCCAGGGTCATAATTTTTTGCATATTCATGGCCTCTCTTTGTGATAGGGACTACGTGAATATAAAAAAGATTGTAAGAATAAATATAACCAAAACATATGTATACTGTGTCCACAAACACAAGAGATATGAAACAGTGAATCCGCACTTAGTGGTCAATTTCTCGAGTGCTCAATAAAACAGCAACCACTGATATAATCAAATTTCTCCACGCAAGATCAAGTAAAAACCGTTTACTCAAGGTTGTTCTTGTTCCATATACAGCACCATATCTATAACCATAGTATTTACGACAGCACATAGAATTTTGCGACAGTCGACATGGGGTTTACGTTAGGGATGTTGCAAATGATAGCTGGTTGTAAACTTGTGACAGAAAACACTACATGTATGATACAATAAATATTCAGAATTATATTTGTGTGTCAAAAAGCCGAGCAGACAACAAGTACCATACTGGGCTTTTAAACTTAATATGGTGGGTTTTGACCTAGATGTTCACCGCTGCCTTGCAAATGCTGTATGTCGCTGAGCCGTAGATGTATCAAATGCGGTGTGAAGTTGGTTTATTGTTTTTATGTTAAATATGCCGAAGTCTTGTAAATATGTCGAAGGATGTCTGGAATAACTAATTTAAAAATATCAACCCTGTCAAAAACGGGAGCGGAATAAAAACTACAAAGTCCATATTGCCTCCGCGGTTGTCCTGGTGCCACGCGCACCTGTTGCCACGGCGCCGGCTGTCAGTTTCTTCTTTCACACTTCGCCCTGGACGACGGCGACAAAGTGAGACGGGATGGAAGCGAAAGACGAGCAGATTCTTCGCGGTGACCCGCCGGAGAGCCCGAGCGGCGTAACGGGGAAGGACACCGCTGGGGAAGCCATGGACCTAGAAGCGGAGGCTGGAGACCCGGAGGCTGAGGAGGTGGAGGCGGGCGTCGAGGGCTTCCCCCGTCCCTGTACATCCTGGGAGCGACGCGCCGGACCGAGCAGCTCCGAGGAGTCGCAGGCCTTCGGCTCAAATGATGAGACCGACGAGGTAAAATGGCAGGTGACATTTTATCATACCCCCCGCCCCGTTTATGTGGATTTAGCGGACTGGTGTTGTACAATTGTAGTGCTGCAGGAGAAAAGTAGGAAGTCCCAGGAACAAAAGTGGTATGGACCCTTTAGGTGATAATTTCAGAATGATTAAGGTGTCCAAAAGTCCATTTGGATCCAGCTGCTCTAATGTCAAAAGGGCAATTGTCAGTATTTTTTACATACCTCTCAGGTGTCTGGAAATAGTAATTTCACAATTCCATTAGGCTAAATATGGAGCTGAAGTAGTGTCTGAGACTATGGACTGACTAGCTGAAGGTTATATGCACTGTTGGGTTAGTTACTCACAAAAGTAACCCATTACGGAGAGAGGTGGAAAGTTCAGGTCCAGAAATTACAAATCCAGACCCAGTTTTGGTTTCAACCCATCAGTTGAGTATAAAGAGTCACAGTCACAGAGTGCTCAGCTGGGTGGTTGAAACAAACCTTGGTCTGGAGTTGTACTTTCTGGACCTGAACTTTCCACCTCTCTGAAATTACTTTTGTGAGTAACTTCCCCAACACTGGTTATAGGTTCAAGTCCCAGGGTCCTGCGGTAGCAGGCCGTAGGTGGCTCTTTTCTGTGGTGGAGTTAAAGAGTACCCTGTCATGTCTGAGTGTTTTATAAACATCCTGTCTTTCAGCACTCCTTTCCTTTGGCAGAGCTGTTCCCCTACATTTGCTGCACTATTTGTAAGGGATTCTTCATAGAAGCCACAACCATCACAGAATGCCTGCACACATGTGAGTGGATTTAATCTAAGGCCATCTTTGGAAGTCTGTGTATTTCTGCTTTAGGCCATTTTGTGCTCCATATTATCTGCTCAGATTTAAGGCAAACGAATGACTGGTATTGGAGAATCATCTGTCCGTCCATCCTTTTTCTAATTGCTTGTTTAGAGTCGGGTTGGGTGGGTTGGTTGGGGAGCAGGGGGAGACGGGTTGGAACCTATCCCAGCAGAGAGCACAACACTGGGGCCTAAGAGAGTCCTGTGTGGTGTAATTATGGCATCTCAAAAATAGTCTGCAAACCCCTAGATGTTCTTTAAAAGTCCCATTCTTTCAAATCGGGCATTTTGTGTTGGCTTCTTAAAAATTATTGCTATATTTAACTAATTGTACTAGTGTGTTCACACAGGAGCAGGACTGAAATAGTACAGTTTTAAATGTAAACCTTTTGGATTTTTTGTGTTTGCAGGTTCTAAGTAAAAAGGAATGTGTTTCTGGGTTTAATGGCTTTTCACTATGTTTCGTTTTAGTCTGTAAGAGCTGCATCGTCAAGCACTTCTTTTACAGCAATAGATGTCCTAATTGCAACGTTGTCGTACATCAGACGCAGCCACTGTACAATATCAGGTACCGTGACGTTTTGTAACATGGTCAAATATGTGACATGCAAGGTGGCAGAAGAGCAGTCAGTAGCAGCAGCCATTACTAACTGCGTGGATGTCATGCCAGTGATTTTTTTTGAGGAAACTCTTGTACTCCTGTTCAGACTCGACAGACAACTGCAGGACATTGTCTTCAAGATGATCCCCCATCTGGAAGAAAGTGCGTACTGAAATTTACCTTGTGTTTAAAAAAATCTATTTTGATTTTGTCTTTCCTGGTTGCATGCTATTCACATCTTCTCATATATATAAATATATATTGGTTTTTCAAGGAGAAAGAGAAAGAATGCAAAGTTTTTACAAAGAGAGAGGACTTGAGGTACCAAAGCCTGGTGAGGATATTATCCTATTCATTATTTATAAAGTGATCCATCCATTCATCCATCCATGTTCCATAACTGCTTATAAAGTTATTAAGTTTTGTAGAATTGCATTATACTTACAGCATATAACACAATGATGAATCAGTGCTTCACTCTCTTGTGGTTAAATATTGTAAGATTTATCACTGAAGGCATTGTGACAGGTCCTCGACATTTGTATTAATTATTATTTAATTAGTTCTCAGACGCTTTTATGTTTTGGAAACATATCATTAAATTGAGCGGCTGTCCTTTCCTGGCAATCTGTGTATTCACTTGCAGTGGGTCCTTCTCCTGTGGCGTCCGCAAAGGCCCCGAAGCAGAAGAAGAGCCCGCTGGCCCAGTCAGGGTTCACCATCCCGTCAGAGCTGGACGTCTCGCTCGTGCTGGAGTTTGTGGGGTGAGTCAGCCCCTTTCCTCTGCTACTTGTTGGCCGTGAGCAGAGTCCTGGGTGGCATCCTATAATAATTCTGTATTCTCTTTGTTGCTCATCCATGAGAAATAAATGTAATAAACTTTTTAATTAGACCAGAGGCTACGGACACCGTTACACAAATTCAAATAAATTCAATTCGTTTTTATATAGCGACCAAAAATAAAGGCGCTTTACATGGGCGTGTTGTACTACATCGCTACACCATACAGTATATACAGAATAATACAAAAACAGAAAAAGGGGAAGACAAAGAAAGTAAATATGAAAGAAGAAAATCAAATACATCATCAAGGGGGAACCGGGGAACCCCTTTAATATTTTAATGTTCTGTGAATTAGGTGACGATGCTGGTATTTCACGGGCCACAGGTTGAAAGCACATCATCTATCTTTCAAATAGTTTTGCTAAAATATCGTTTAGAAAAGACTGTTATGGTTCATCTAGTGGTTGAGACATGGTAACTGCACTTCTCTCTTCTAACGTTTCACTGCTCATCCAAGCAGCTTCTTCAGTCTGTGACTGATGTGTCCAGATGTGCTCATTCCTCTAGTTCTCTTGCAATCTGTGCATTGTGCTTATCTTGGAATCTGTGATATATGCCTACGGTTTACTGTTAGTGTCACTGCAAGTGGTCCGACATCATCGCTGTGTTCTCCCACCCGGTAAACTTACACCAGGGCAACTGGCACCAGTATGTGTGACCAGCTCAGATGGTCTATTCAGATAGAAAATGTCGGCCATTGCGGCTTGGAAACCTCCCACTTCCCTGAAAACGCCCATGCTCCTCTGCTCCCTCAGGGGGACCTGGGCGTGAACCTGCCACATACCCTGTTAACCAGTAGATGGAGCCATGGTGACAAAAAATCAACTTTTCTCTAATTGTTGAAGTCTTCCATTGTAAACATTTATTTCTGTTCAATTAAAAACAGATTTTTATGTCACTGTGGGTAGGATGCTTAAAAAAACTAAATCATTTTTCCCCATTTAAAATTAGAGATGCACCGATACCGATATTCGGATCGGTATCGGCGCCGATCCAGACCTATTTGACGGATCGGGTGTCGGCCATGCGTGACCGATCCACGTCCTGTACTTACTTATTTAGTTTTTGGCAATCAATCGCAAAACAGCTCTTTCCCATTTTACATGTGTTTTTTGCGGCATTCAAATCGAACGCTATCGCTGCCCCTCAGTCTTTTTTGCTACTCAGTGGGTGTTAGTACAGTGATTTCCGCCTGCTCTGACGTCATGCGCATACCCTTAGCAGTACGAGGCGTGTAGGATAAAACGTGACGATCTGGGAGTATTTTACGCTTTTAACAGAAACCAGTAGCACAGCGATTTGCAATCTATGTAAAAAAAAAAAAAAGTTTTGAGGTGGGAATGGCCGTTTAATGGACAATCCCATTTAATAAAGCGCCCGCAACTGCGAGACAAAGCAAAGCAATGGATGGTTTGGGAGTCGCTAACTTAATTGGACTGTTTTGCGAACTCGCTGTAGTTTGTGATACAAGAGGGGCTGCAATCGCAACAAAAGTGTAACTGCGCTGACGCCAATGGGAGAAAAACGGTGTTAAATTTTAAGCATTCGCCACTTGTGTATACTTGCTTTGAAGATATTCACATTGAACTGCAAATGCCTCAAAAACGCTTAAAACAAACGAGGTGGAACAATACGTTATGTATGTTTGAAGTAGCCTAATTAAATATTTTTTGTCATACATTTTTTCCATCTGTATTTACTAGCTTAAAAAATTAATATATAAAATATAACAAAGTAAAAAGAGCTCTTGCATCGGAATCGGATCGGAACTGAAAACATGTGGATCGCCCATCTCTATTTAAAATTTAGGACACCTAAAGGAGACGTTAGATCTTTCAGAATAATCTCCTGCCAGTGAAGTGCAATGTGCTTTGCATTTCATCTTAACACAGTCCTGCCCTGTATCCAGCTTTAATGAATGTGCATCCTTGGCTTCAGTGTTGATGTCCTTGGCAGGGCTGAAGACCATTGATTTAGGATGAGCTTTCAGACACATTGCAGTTTTACATCTGGTGTGTCTGGCATTGCATTAATTAGCAAGCACTTTGTCACCTGTCCCCATCCGTATTTTTTAATAGATATTTGGCAATTGCACAATGACACATAGCTGCTCGATGCCTTTACTGCCTACTATTCATTAATTACTATGCATGAGAAGGATACAATTAGCATCATGTCGATATCTTCCACAGTGTTGAAGCAGTAATTTGCATGCACCCACTAAATAGTGTGTGAATTTCGCTTGATAATACCTGCCGTCGGTTGTAATTTTGTGTCACCATTATTTTCTAAATTGCTGACTTTTAATTAACTGTGTATTTTAATTTATAATTTCCTTTGTGATGCTGATTAATGGATGACTTAATTGACATTCTTAAATGTCATAAACATAGATTTTTTTAAATGTTCTATTTTCTCTTCTTTAACAGAGCAGAAGAGGGCATTGACAACTACAAGGTAATGTTTGTTTTGGGTATCAGGGCAGTTTTGAGACAATGTGGGGTCCCAGCGCATTAATATCAGAGCAGTCAGCGCCTCAGTAACAACTGATTCATGGTCACTCTCACGCCACTAAAACGGGCCGTTTCTAAGGTCCATGCTGGCTGTTCCAGAGCAGGGTTCTGCTGGTGAGCGCCGTGAATCTTCGAGGTGTGCGCAGCAGGCAGTAATAATACACCTCGCCCACCCCCCCCCCGTCTGCCTTGTGAAATCGAACATCCCTGCTGTAGGTTCGGGGCGTGGCAGCCGACAGGCTACATCGCCAGCTCGCATAAGTTTTGTGAAAAACCCATTTGCTTTCTTTTGCCAATGTGGTCAAACTCCGATTAAACTTGGTGCCTGTATTTGATTTATTCCACATTTTTATATCATTATGTGGCTCTGTTTAAATGCAGGTATGTAGAAGATTGGTGGATGTTTTGCAGAAAACATTTTTTATGAGGGCTGGCTTCATTAAAAATGTTTCGGCATGATCGTCTGCGGCTCCCGCGAGCGGCATATTTTTCTTAGTTCTCCTTCAAGCAGATGATGCAAAGCATGAACCCTGAGACTATTTTCAGAGAGACCGTGTAGTTTTGTTCTTGTCTGCATAATTTAATATGCTTCTGCCTTGTTGAATATTAAGTGCACAGCAAGGCTATAGAAGCGTTAGTAGGTCTGGGTCTTTTTTGGCTCCATCTGACAGCAGTATAATCTGTTTAAGGATTTTTTTTCTTAAGGAAGGAGTGGCATGAAAGTCCGATTGACCGTGATACCGCCTGCTCTGTCTCCGTCTCTGTGAGCATGCAGCTACTTGGCTTCTTGCCCGCCCTTGGTCTCGCTTAGCCGATTGGGAAAACCCTAAACTAAATAAAGCCCAGACTAAAGCGTTTTTAACTAAAAATAAAATAAAAAGCCTTCTCCTTTTCTCCTCCATCCCCCAGTTTATTTTCAAAATATGTTTTATGGTCCACATGACTTGGCAGACTGGGTTGACTGGGGGGGCTGGGGATGGAGTGGCGGGGGGGGGGGGGGGGGGGGTCCTGCCCTATGCGGCTTCCTGCAGACGGGGCTTAGCGGCTAAGGTAAGACATACAAAGCGGCTCAGCTGCCTCCCTCTGCTGCCCACTTTATCGAGGTGCCGTAAGAAGATTACAGGCAGGGTGGCGACTTGAATGTGGGGCACGTGGACATGGGAGGTAGCCTGTCTTTTTTGCCCTAATACCCAGGGCAGTGTCCTTATTACCCCTTTGGTTTCCGTATATTCTATATTTCCTTGGTTTCTGCCCCTTTCCCAATATGATCCTTTAAAATGATGCAGGATTTTTGAGATTTTTAGCAAATGAAAAGAAGAGACGTAGATTCTCAGAAGGCCCGCTCTCGTGGTCGCAGTCACGTTCAGGCTTCCTGTCTGTCCATGGATGCCGCCCCTTTAACCATTTTCAGCAGCCTTGGCAGGAAAAGCTAAAGGAGATGATAGATGCAGACTAGGCGTGTCGATTTTACTGCACTGCTGGTGTCCTGCGAATCGATTCCTGCACGCTTGCGGCTTTTCACACCAAAGAAGAGCGCTAAGGTGGACAGTCTGAACAGGAGCCCTTACTTTTGCTGTTGTTCCTGTAAAATTTCACCCTTCTAATTCTGTTTTTTTAAACCAGCTTTTTTTGTGAATATTTTCTCAAAATACCACTTACAGTAGCCCCCCTTGAGTATATTTCCCGGAACAGTGACAGTGATATTAAAATACAGTAGCCCCCCATCTGCGGTTCCAATATCTGCGGTTTCAGTTATCTGTGGTTTACTTCAGTAAAAACTGTAACAGTTTTTTTCGTTGTCCCATCATCCTTTGAGGCGTATAAAAAAACATGATTTTTATTGCTCTGTCATCTCTTAATACGTGATTTTTTTTGTCTTTGCTCTAGTGTCTCTTGAAAATTAAGCTAAAACGTCAGAATCCCTTTCATTTGCTTTTTCGAGAGAGTACAGTTGTACCATACTATATAATAATGTACAATGTGCTTTATTACTGCTGTATATAATGTTGATAATATCTTACTGTGTGTAAATTAACAATTACCATATGTAAGTACACGAAAATCACATATATCTGGCATCCACGGATGGTTTGCTGTTTCAGCTATCCATGGTAGGTCATGGAACATCACCCATGGATACGGGGAGGGGGGGGGGGGGGGGGGCTACTGTATTTTAATATCACTGTCACTGTTCCGGGAAATATACTCAAGGGTTGAAATATGTAACTAAGTGGTCTTGGAGGAAGTTGCAAATTCATAACACTGGACCCTAAAATGAACTTAAGGATAAACCAAACTTTAGTGTTTATGTTCATTTTCAGGCTCGTCTTTCATTATGGGTACTGGGCCAGACGGAGGTGTGTGAACTCGCTCAGCTATGACCTTTATTATTGACTTATTGATGTGTTGGGGCTGCAGTGTAGAAATCTCAATTGTTGGCGTGTGATTATCTATAGTATTGCTGAGCTGGCATTGGCCTCTGACCCCTGCTTTTCATTTTGGCTTCCATGCAGCCCCTGGAGAGGAAGTACGTGCGGGTGTCGGGGGAGGCTACCATCCACCATGTGGAGCTCTTCATCAGGAGGAAGATGGAGCTGAACCCTGCCTGTCAGGTGGGCTCCTGTCTCTTTAGAAATGTCACAGGGTCATCGGTCAATTATGCACTTATTAAATTGGTTCGTCGTTTTGGTTCCCATCGTTTAGGCACGAGATACTGCGATGTTTTCCCTCGATTCTGATACTAATGAGCGCCCCATGGCCGTCACACTGATGGAATCTTCCGTCACGTTCCATCATTAATAAACAAGCAGGCTGGGAGCGTCTTCCAGGGGCCGTCTGAGGTCTTCCATGATGTTGGCCGACAGACGGGGCAGAGGAGCAGACAGGCGTGGGGCTCGCTGCTGCCCGTGGGCTTTGCAGAGCGCCGAGCTCACGGTGCCAACGGGATGCTTTGACCCCACTGTGCACTGAAATGACCGGTGGGTCGCCAGTAAAATATATGGACAGCAGAGAATCAGAATTCTAGCATTACATAAGAGCAAATATTTCTACGAAGTTACTACTGGGTATATGGATTAAATCCAGATAAACACTGTTATTGACCTATGGAAGGGTGGCACAGTGGCTCACTCAATAGCACTGCTGCTTCACACTTATAGGATTGGAATTCTGAGTCTCCAATAAGCAAAGACACACTGTCAGACTAATTGGTGTCAAAATTGCCTGTAGTTAGTGTGTGTGGACCGGGGCAGGTTTGGTATTTCTGTGGTCTCCCCCCCGATGTTTCACAAACTGAATAAATAGTTGGTGAGCAGAGTCAGAAGATGGTAGCTAGCTGGTTAGCAGAACATGCTGCTAAACCATCTCCTAAATAAGGAGTTTATTTGATATTTAGTTTAGTAACTGTTCGTGGCCAATAAGCGGCTCTGCACAAGCGTGTGTTCTCAGTGGTGGTGTGCGTGTGAACTGGTGTCCTGTCCTGAGCGTACCCCAGTCCTGTGCTACCTCAGATAGGCTCAAGGTGCCCTTGTGAACTGACCAGAATAAGCAGTTGGAAGATTGATGGATGATCTGTAGCACTTTGGGGGTAGGAGTAATTCTCCCTGCAAGGAATGCTGGGTGTGTTGTTTTGTAGGAAAGGCTGATACATACAATCTGACAGTGATACATTTCGACCTTAAGGCATTAAGGATTCATTGACTTCCTGCAAACTCAGAGCATGGCATACCCTTATTCTCAATTCAGATTCTGTCCTTGAGCTTCCGTTGGATTGTCAAGCGATTTTTAACCTGACGCTTAATTAAAATCGCTACTTGTGGCACGTAATACTTGTCACAGATCTTGATCTCTTTTCATCTCTGCAGTAACTGATGAGTCAGTCTTTCTCCTCTCACTCGCCGTGTCGAGGAACCTCAGCAATTCGTGAGGTGTGACTCTCAGACACATTGGGAAGGCACCCAAGGGAGAGAGACTGCTCAGGTATAAAATTTACAAACATGAAGGGCTGTTTCTGTAGAGATTAACCCTCGCTGCAATGTTGAAACAAAAGGAAGAAGCGGTAATAGGGCTGTTGGTTCTTCCGTGTTCAATCATTCATGTTAATAGCTAGAGTAAATTAATTAAGCAGCACATTGCTTATGCACTATTGCTTATGCACTAGTGGAGTGTAGTGGGGAACTTGTGTACAGGCATGGGTAGGACACCTACAAGCTCATGAAATACTGTGTAATTCTTCACATGCACTTCCTCTTAGATATTTTCTCACGTGCATCAGAAAATGCAATAACCCCGATGTCTTCACTTCACCACTTTGTTAAATAAGAAGGTTATCCTGATGTTTATAAGTTACTTCAGATGCTACATGGTTGCCAGAATCAAGTGGTTGCTTCCTGTTTTAATGGTGCGACTGTCAGATCTTATGCAAAATTTGGGGACCGCTGCACAATGTCGAATGGAATAGTGATACTTCATTCATCCCTGTGGTGAAACTAGGTTAGTTTTTGAATATCTCACCTTGCTCTACATGAGACACACACAGATACCCCAGCCTCTCTTTTAAACAAAAAAAAAAAGATTCAGTAATTGTGCTCAGATTTATCTACAGAAGTTCCCTCCATTTTACCAGTAGATTGTGAGGCCAGGGCTGTTCTCAAACATTATATTTTACATATTTAGCCGACCCTTTTGTTCAAGGTGACATACTATTGAGGCAACTATCCATCCATTATTGTACCCACTTATTCCCGACTGGGGTCACAGAGCCTATCCCGGAAACAACAGGCGTAGGCAGGAACCAACACACAACTACAGGGCCAATTTAGACAGCCTACGTTGCACTCTTTTGGACTGTGGGAGGAAACCAGAGTCCCTGGCGAAAACAGGGAGCGCGTGCGAACTCCACACAGAAAGGACCCGGGACCGAACCTGGGACCTTCTCGCTGTGCCACCATGCCGCCCCTGTTGAGGCAACTAGCACATTACAATGGTGTGAGCTGTCAAGGAATCGACTAGGCAAAAGTGCAGGAGCTACACAATCTTCTAAATAGGTTGCAGGAATCGCTTCTCTCTTGTAGGGAAGTTTAATGCCTGTTATACATTTTGGTAAGTTATTCAGTTCCCCTTTAACATGTCATAGTGGGCAGTGAGCACAGTCTTGATCATTGTAGGCACCAACCAAATGTCCTTCCCTCCCCTAGACTCCATGATGAGAATGTAAATTTGAAATATAGATAATATATAAAAAAGCATCGAAGATTGTCTGACCCATGCATGCAGCTTCTGGTAAGCAGTCCAAGCAGGCTTTGCTTTGTAAAAGTCTCCTGTTGAGTGACTCCCACCCAAAGTGCTGCACTCAGAGAGGGACGGGGAAGGGCGGGGGGGTGTTGGATTTTGCTCGGTCAAGCGTGACAGTGGCTTTTGGGGAGTACAGGCCGCCTTGGTCTGCGTGCTCTATGGAAACGTGGCTTTGAATAATTCACATGCCTCCATCAGTAATAGCAGCACATTCTCTGGGGAAAAGGCCAGCGTTATCTGTGCGGAGGGTAGGGTGTGCAGGTTGGAGCGACACGGCACCAAAGAGCCATTGCAGTATCCAAAGGCACATTTTAATCAGTTGGCAAAGGATGGACTGCACAACAAAACAACTTTAATGGAAACTTCGATGCTTTGCTGCCTCTCCTAGCCTGGAACTAACATGCAAACTTACATTTTCATTTGACCCGACAGAATCCTCAAGACAAGTAGTTTGTGTGTCTGGTTACCGGTCCTGCCTCCAGGTGTGCAGAGACTTACCAGAGGCTATAGGCTACATCCACCTTCGCAGTTTAGGTGTAAGCTGTTTGGTCTGCATAGTGCCCCTGGAGCTGCTGCCCTGACCGCCCTCTTATTCTTTTCCATTTTGATGTTCATTGATAGTTATTGATAGTTCACAAGACAGCGCTACCGATTGGCTGTCAGGTTGTTTCAGTGGTTAATGAAAATGGCTAATTCATTAGGATACCAGTTCACAGCATTCCTGTTTTATATATGTAGTTTTAATGGCAGTGCATCATATAGTCAAAAATGGCTTATTTCATATTTTTAAAATTCAGACTTTCGCTGTGTTCTGAAATCCATTGATTACGAATAAATTTTAGCGTAAAGGCTTTAGCGTAGAAGCTCATAGCAGGTTAAGAGTCTGTACTCAATTAGGATTCTTTATGCTTCAGTCATTCACTTTGTTCGGGAATCCTGCATTGATGTGGGGACACACTGTGCTGTGATTGGCGGGTGCTGAGAGTGGTAGATAAAGGGTTTGAGAGATAAGGACTAAATTGCTGAAAGTCTAAAGCTGGGCCTCTCGTTACTGAATGAGGTGATGAACCGCTGCCTATTCAATACAAGTTCCACAGAACCATTATCTCATTCAGACAGTCAGCCTGTGTCTTCTGCCGTAATATAATTTTACTGTTACATTAATCGTTCTTCTACAAATGTGAACTGAAGTATTCCTGTGTTCTTGCTGGAACTAGAATAGCGTGAAATGGATATATTCTTACAAACACAGAAACGGCCTGAGACATTCCCTGTCACACTCACGCTCCACGAGTGAAGTAGCGTGAAGAGTGCAGTGTGGCCTGCAGCCCTCTGGGGGGCCCGTCGAGCATGACTGATGCAGAGGGTGATGGGAGGAACCCAGTGGTCTGAACCCCCCCCCCCAACTCACCACATGAGGCTATGACACAGCGGGGGCTGAACCTACATTCCTGCTGATAGACACAGCGGGCTCTCACTCATGCACCCCCGCAAATCCTCTTTAATTCACCCTTTCTCCATAACCGATCAGCTGGCTAAACTGATGGCACGAGCTAAACTTATTGCCTGATGACAAACTGTCATCTTCAGTCTTGTTAGAGTTAAAGCCATGGTTTTTCTAATCCCTTTAATTAAGGAATATATTTAAATGACAAATGATGTAATACTTTAGATCGTTTGAAACGGCACACTTGAAACATTACTGGAAGTTTACAAATAATAATAAAGTCACGTTATATACAGAGGCGGACATTTCAGGTCCAGAAAGTAAAAATCCAAACCAGGATTTTGTTTCAACCAGCCAGTTGAGTACCCTGTGACTGTGACTCTTTATGCTCAACTGGTTGGTTGAAACAAAATCATGGTTTGGATTTTTACTTACTGGACCTGAAATGTCCGCCTCTGGTTATATATGGGGTTCGCTATTCGTGGTTTCCAATTCCAGTGAAACATATCAAGGGGGACTCCTCCTCCTCCTCCTTCTCCTTCTTGGAGGTTTGGCGGAATCATGTTGTTGCTGTATGTGGTCTGTTCGCGCACTTTCCCTTTGTGCACGAGCAGAGAAGCGTCCTTTTCTCCTACCTGGCAAATCCGCCATTATAATAGCAATCCACCAAGGTGCTAGCACACCTGGCTTTTAAAAAGAATGGGAGATGACACCCTAGTATATACAAGGTTACGACCCAAAGACATCTACTGTATGACTAATTACAAGATTTAGTACGAACCTTTAGGACCATGCGCCTGGCACAGCAACCATTTTTCCACCATTAAACTAGCGAAAGTGGGTTGGCCACACCCTAAAAGAATTTTTCACCATGCGTGTCAGACAATGTGCTTTAGATCATTAAAAAATAGGGCCCTATATCTTTTATGGCTTGAAAGTGCCTGTGTCTTTAAGGTGCCCTTATTTTTCCCAGCATGTAAATTTTTCTGCTTAATTACGCTGTGCCACAGCTTGTCAGTATGTCACCATCTTCTTTGTGCATAATTAAGTTATGCTGAATGACCTTTGACCTTAGTGGAGAGGTGTACATGCATCACGGGGGTGTCAGAATTGTTTGTGGTTATTAATGGCCTCCCCAGATTTAATAGATCAAGGTCTTTTTATTCAAAGGCCATTTGGCCCGGCAGGTGAGTCTTGGCCACTGGATTGTCAGCTCGCCCTGTCCTCCTGATCAGTATTTTTAAAGGTCCTTAGGAGTATCGAAAATCTACCATGGGTGACTCCTCCCCAGGCACAGTCTAATCATTCTCATCTGACCATCGACCTCATCCCAAATATTGAGCCTCTTTGTTCGCTAATCAGCAGTGAATCTGTTGATTTTCATTCTGGCTTTCATTGATTTTCCTTATCATGCCTACTCTCGCTTTCCAAACTATGTTGTTTAATTTATTCCCATCTTGCATGGTCTCAGTCTCTCCGTGTCTCAGTGGTGCAGCCCTTTGTGGTACCATTGAGATGTCCTTCAGAGTCCCCTGGGGCTGGACACTTCTCGGCTTGCAGCCAGATTTCAGTCGCTTCTCCCGGTCGTCCATGTGTCACCCTCCGGACTCCCGACCCTGAAGCGCTGTGGGAGGTGGGGGCCTTGGCATACGGGCTGGAAGATGTGAAGGAGGCTCAGCCATCCTAATCTTCTGAGCAGGACTCTGATAAGAGGGTCAGAAGGAGCTTTGAGCGAGAGCCAGGAAGCCATGCCGTAAGGGGCATTCCATGCATTGTTCAGTGCCAAATGCCCTGCAGGGGGCGCCACCATCCAGAAGCAACCTTCGCTGCTAACTGAAGCTGTACTGACGTGTGAACGAAATAAATCACACCTTTCTGGCTATTGGCTCGGTGACCAAATTAATCATTAGATCCCCCCCCCCCCCCCATTTCTTCAATTATAATTATTATAATTTTATACTTCATCTTGACTAAAGAAAATGTAGGAAAGTAGCCGAAGGTTTATGTGCGTTCAGCAGGATTCATTTCTGTGTATGAACATATGCAATATTTAAATTTATGCAAGAGTGTATATATTTACATAATACTTCATATTACCATGCCTGCTGTGATATTGTCTGTAAGTTGACTGTGAGGTCTTATGTTTCTCTGTTCTCCTACTGATACTCTATTCTGTGGTCGTTATGGCAACCATCTGCTTAATATGATCTTACATGGCCAATAAACAATAATAAACATGTCTAATGTGGGATCTCGCACATCTTCATTGGCATATCTTTTTGTTTTTGGATAGAGCTGAAGCTGATTAGTTCTAGTAAACTTCACACTTGTGCTGTCAGGTATTCGAACCTGTGTCCAGAGGAGCCACTGATTCACAGATACCCGTCCTTCCCCATCAACATTCTTTTTCTCCTGGCCATAGACATCCTTGAATAACTCGTTTGCGGGCATTGATTCACTGCCCGTTTGTAAAGGCACCCAGACCATATCTTGTTCATTAGCTCAAACTCCTGGCATCGCAGTTTATGCATGTTAAATATTTTAACACTGGATATTAAAGGGCAGCTGGCTTCGGAAGCATAGTTCGCACAAGCCACTGCATTCATCTTATTTAATTACTTGTATGTTGTGATAAAGAAATGCTGTGGTTTGTAGGAATCGATGACTGTTTGGGCTTGTGCTGCTGGCTCTGTTTCAGGCGTTCTCTGTGTCAGCACAAGTGAGATCACGAGCGCTGTAACGGAAGTCTACCCAACAACAGCAGAGGTCTTCAGTGTTCATGGGGAATGTGCTGTGGGCTCTTGGGTCAAATATGCTGAATTTGTGCCTTGGCCTGCTGGTCTGACCTGGTTTGTGTATTTTATTGTGCAGGTGGACGTTGTCTGTGGGGACCACCTGCTTGACCGATACCAGTCATTGAGGGAGGTCCAGAATGTCATGGGAGAAGGTGCGCTTCAGGTGTGTATCCGGAATGTTCTCTTTAGCCCTGAGGTTCACGGTGAAAGAGGTCACAGCACGGATCCCAGTGCAGCTGACTCAGCACAAGCCCTGTCTCTGAGTCCTTGAACGCTATACTTGATTGTATTCAGTCTGCGATATGTTAATACTTATGAGGTTGTGCTGAAAACAATTGCAGCTTCTTATAGTCAGAAAGGCTGTTTCTCCCAGGCATGGGCTGAGCTGGGGAGTGTGCAGTCTGAAAGGCTTACAGAGTGTCTCTGACCAGCAAAGGAGTTTCCTTTCTATTTCAGCCATAATGATTCCGCTTTACAAGGAAGCGCAATTTTTATTCCTTGGTTAAAATTTGCCCTTGAGCTTATATTAGAATTGCTCACATCAGAAATATTATTCCCGTGTTTAAATTGTGTTTCATATTATTAAACTGCAAAACAAGTAATTATGGAGTGAAAATGATCTGAGTACAACCACTTTGATACAGTGAGAGCCGGGAACAGCAGGAATTTGGATCGGTGAAAGCGACGAGGAGAGGAAGGGTGCGCATGTGTTTTTCTCTCTCAACTGAGTCCTGGGTGTAATTACTGTGCATAAATTAAACGGCGCAGGACTTTGACGATGGTGGAGAGTGAGCGGAAAGAGCGGGAATGTTTTATATGATAGGGTTCCACGTTTTTTTCTTAATACTGCCCTAGGAATAAAAGAAATGTATAATATATCAGTTTACACATAATCCTCCCGTCCGGATGTACTGCATTTTTATTGAAAATCATGTCGTTTATCCCCGATGTGTGTATTGTACTGCTTTTAGTTGTCGCATTCACAGTAATGTTGCAATCCATCTGTTGCATATTTTACTGTTTTGTTTTACGCCTGATAAGACTAATTAGTCGGGGGTGCTGAAAGTGGCTGCATGGAGATTAAACATATAAATTGAAGCTTGTTCCGCTCTGCAGGACGCGGTCCGTGGCACGCTGAGCGTCCAGATTAAGAAGTGCACTCTCTGTGTCAAGTTCAGGCTTGATGCTGCTGCACTCAGCATCGAGATAAGCTATGATGGCAGTTTGCTGTGTGAGATTTGCCCACTGTTATATGCAAAGAATTAATAACCTATGTTTCTGCTGAAAGGGAGGACCGCATTTGTTAACTTAATTTGTGCATTGCTGTTATTTTCATATTGTTTTGCACATTTTTTTCCCTTACATTTCTGTTTCAATTTGCATTAAATTGTACGCCTGATCAATTTCTCTTTATGTGGAGCATAAATAACTGTGAGGCATGTGGTGCAGTGCGGCGTCCCCCTCTGCTGTGCTGCGGCGTCGCATGTAAGCCATGATTGCGAGGATGGTGCTGTGCCAGGGAAGTGTCGAGTCAGCAGGCAGTGGGACACCCCTCCTCACACTCACACGCACACACCCACTGCAGGACACGACTGCAGCACACCTCCTGCACGCCAGTGAACCGCTGCAGTCGTTTCTCCATGCCCTGCACTTCGCACCTGAGCTACCTAAAATAAGATGCAGTAAATGCATCCCAGTGGACAATCACGAGTCATACCATATTCCTGGTAGGGCAGCCTGTCGCCAAGGTGACGGCCCGTGGACTCCCGGGTATGGTATGAGGTGTTTACTGGACCGTGTCTGGACCACAGCTGAGCCTCAGGCCAAATTAAAAGGTAGCCAGTTAAATCACCTCCATCTATAGTGCATTAACCTTTTATGGTGGTTTTCTGGGTTATGAAGCCCTGTGGACACTGAGGGGCGAGAGGCTCGCTAATTGAAACGTCTGCATGCGTCAGTGTGTAGAATGGTGGTGTATCTCTGGAGGGCTGGTCTCAGTAACACAGGGCTTTTTGGTGTCTCTAAATTTCCGATAAAATCATTATAAGAGCTGAAAATGCCGTACAGTCCCCGGAATGAGCAGGAAGTGTCCATCAATATGCAGTATTTTCCTTGTATGTGCACTTAGGGTAGATGACATGTAAATATATGTTTTTATTGTTCTTTTGTCATTTGAAGAGTACAAAAAGAATGATTTTCATTGGTCTGTCGTTCCTTGATACATATTTTTTTCATTGCTCTGTCACCTTTTGAGAATTAGGCTCAAACATCAGAATCCCTTTCGTTCGTTCAAGAGAGTACAGTTGTACTAAATTATATAATGTACAATGTACTTTATTATGACTGTATTTAATGTTGGCAATGTCTTGCTGTGCGTAATTTATCAATTACAATATGTAAATATAGGAAAATCGCGTGTATATACTTTATGTATATGGGGTCTGCAGATGCTTCGCTATCACCTGAGGTTTTGGCCAATCCGCGGACAGAGATTCAGTTCTAATTATGGTAACTCTCTTTTGATTTGACGGATGGTTACATCTTCGACAAACAGTGAGTGTGAAATTAGAGGCAGGACTGGCTGTGGCTGGAGCATTCTGGGCCCCAGCATTGAGGTTAAATATCACGCTTTGTTTATCCCCCAGAGGTCAACCAGGGCTCTGGACAGCCCGTGAAGCTGACAGGCGGTGAATTAGTACGAGAGAGGGCCGAACGTCCCCAATGGTGCTGAGGTGGGGGAGGGGTGGAAGGCCTTTGTCTACCGCCCCCCCCCCAACCCCTAGCGTCACCTCACCCCTGTGCTGTCAGCCATCCTGTTGTGCCCATTACCGAAAGAGATTTATGCTTTCTCCCGACAAAGGTTCACATCAGTGATGCGAATGCCTGTTTAATGCGCTGCCCGATAATCGGGAAATAGTGATGTTACCTTGGGCCAAGGCCTGGATGCTGTTTTGTCATGTTTTCCACTTCAGTGTGAAATGTGGGGATGTTGTCTCCGAAGAATGCAGAGGGTGCATTAAGTTATATTTAAGGTGTAATTAAGCTCTTTATGGGTTCTGTGACATAGGGGGATTTGTAATGCCTCAAGTACTAAAAGGGGTTATTGCAGTTTTATAATTGACTCTATTATTATCTGGAAAGCATTGTAGAAATGCGGCTAATCCCCATGGTTTGGGTGTGAGATTTTTTGGAGATTTTCATTGGTTAGCATGTTATATTTAGGCTATTAAATATGTCCTTTCTTTGTAAATCCAAAGACCTTTCAGATCAGCCGTGTGCGATAGAGGAAGGCACCACATAGGTACCTCCGAGCCCATTAGCTGTTTTTGGTGTGAGCAGACCGCCTGGGCACCCCTGTTTCCGGGAGCTTCTTCACGTTGATCCTTCGCTCTCCGTTCCAGACCGAGTCGCAGAACCAGCACCACAGAACCGGAGCCCTTCCAAATACCATGATGAAATACTTTTCTGTTATTCCGGGCCTCCAGTTTATCAGCACAAATTGGGCTCTCCCGGGATTCGTCTGTGTTGTGTCTCATAATGAAGATGCCCGTCTGCAAGCATAATAAGACCCTCTGGATACATTTGTTAGCGTGCAGTGAACAGTAAAAAGGGCGCAGCTGCTTCACACCCATTTTCTCAGCCCCACATTACATCTCTTTTTACAGATTACAGAAATAGAACCAGAAGCTGATGTCGAGATTAAGATGTGTGTTTAAACCATGTGGCAGATATATTGTGATATTTAAATTGTTCAGCAGCAAGGGGGAATGCCATCCTGGCTGGGAAAACTGTAAGACTTTCGCTCAGAGGTACAGGGGTGGCATTCAGAAATGACTTCCCTTTTCATGCAGTGCAGGGTGAAGGTCCTCCAGAACATTTTCAGACTGTGGTGCTGTCTTCCAGCATAGCTACAATAGAGCTCTTTGTCCTAAACCCATTCAGTCAATTAGGACGTGGTATTTATTTATAGGGTATTAATATGTTTTCCATTCTGAAATTTCTGGAATGCAACATTGGGTATCCGCACTTGAATAGCCAGGTTCTGGTTTCATGAACACACCCCTAAAAACCCACAAGCGCGTTACACGGTGCTGCGTGTCCTGCCACCTGAAGCGTACTGGTGTTACACGAGAGTGGGTAGAGTAGGTGGATCTTTAATGCATTTTTTAATAATATGTTACCAAGTCACATTAATAATAACTTTCACAAAGCCTTAGAAGTGTCGGCTGCTTTCAGTTAGTGATTAGCTGTAGGCAGAAAGGCCTAGCGGTTCTGAGTGCAAGACATGTGACTTGTTTCAAAGGAAAGTTAGGTTTAGAACTAGAGTCTCTGTAGAATTGCAAGATCACTTTGGATGGGTGGGATAGGTGGAAATTAATATTGTACCAGGCTTTTGTTATGTGTGTGTTTGTGGTTTATGCTGGCTGCTGTGAACCTCTGCAGACACCCCAGAGGTCTGTATGCTATGTGTGTGTGATTTCTCCACAATGTGATAAAAGCCTGACATTTTGACATTCTTTCAGTCCCCACAGGAGGAAAATCTGTGAATGCAATCAAAGAACTAAAAATCCCAAAAGTCTCATATTTAGTTTGGTTACTTATGGCTAAGGTTAGGGCTGGGTAGGGGTTATGGTTGTCATAGTTGGGATTAGGGTCTTATCCATAGAAATCAAGGGGCAGTCTCCACAAAGATGTGAATGCAAACGTGTGTGTGTGTGTGTGCGTGCGTGCGTGCGTGCGCTGTATACTGAAATGGGGTTCCCTGGTGAGAAAAGCAGGGACTCAAAGCTGGTTTCAGAAGAAAGGTTTTATTTCATTTTTAATAAACTACACTTAAAAAATGTTTTTAAAGCAGAGGTTGGAATAGAGTGCAGACAAGAACATAACAAAAATTCAGTCATTTCTCTCCTATACATGAGTCTTGTTTCCTATTTTGTAAATGTAAAAAGAGGGTATGCCTTTTGCTGCCTGGGATCCCCCCAACAAACATCTTATTAGCTAGGTGGCCTTTTAATCTAATGCTGATCACTACTAAAGTCGTAAAAACAATAGCAGGCTTGAGTGATCAAATTGGTGATTGGTTGTGTCCAGACAGAGACGAGCCCAGCCAGCTGAGCAGATGTTGTGCACAATCCCAAATGCAGCTCCGGCTGTATCAGGCTGTCATATCCTACCCAGCCCTGCCTGCTAACAGATATTTACTGTAGCATTCTTCTCACCCCTGGCTTTTATGCTGTTAGAGCTGGGGAAGTTTCTAGAAGCAAATGGATTTTATTTCTGTTTTTTATTCGCGGCTTAGCTTTATTTTTTCGTCGGGAAATGTCAGGAGACCAGTCTGAGCAGCAGATGCCCTCTGTCTCCACCAAAGAGTCCCTCCTGATGACGCTATTTATAACCCAGCTAGGAGGCTGGCGGGCGGCCGGCCATCCCCAAGCACCGCTGTGCCATTACCCCATGTGTCCCTGCGCTTAACATCAGTCACAGTCTCATTTTTGGGCATTCGGATCATCATAGCCTCAGCATTTTGGTGAATGATTACTGACCGAAGCTGGCCGCGGTAAGTGAAGGCTCCTAGCCAGATGGGTAAACACGGAACCGACTCCAGGTTCCTGCGCTGTAGGGTCTTTAGAGACAAGCAGCCCTGAGGTTCTGCTCAACACCACCGCTTTAACCGTAATTACAGTGCACACACTTCTCAGAGAGAAAGGTTTGTTGTGTCTTGCAGCAGTAATTTGGGGTTAAAGAGCAATGTAAAGCCAGTGTTCAGAAAATGGCGGGGGAGCCTTTGATTGTTCTCTTGGGAGATGGCATGTTCATCCCTTAATTCTGGCTTCTCCCCCCCAACCCCCCCGTACATGTGCACATTTGGCACCTGGGACACAAGGACGCCAAGGCCTCCCCAAGGAACCTCTTCGACTCTGTATCTGGCACAAGGGGGCGTCCCGGCGCCAGCCGGCCCAGTTAATTAGCATGAACCGGCACCCCCTCCGTTCCCCCATCCCCGATGCTCGTTTTTCATTGAACACCGGAAGACGGATACCGGCCTGGTTCTGTCAGGGGACCCTAGGCTCCGGCACCATTCCTCTCTTTCATCATCGTCTTCGCCTTTGTGATACGTTTCGGAGGGAAATGGTTGTCAGAATCACCAACCGGTTCCACATTAGGAGTCACTGACTTTGTCTTCTGTCCTACATGGTATGATCATTGCAGGAACTATTACATATTTTCTGTGCATAAATGATGATAAATTTGGCCTTTTCTCTTTTCATAGGGGAAACTCAGCAGGTTTTTATCTTCTCTCCCTGGAGTGTTTGCCTCTGTGTCCCCTGCATTACACCACCTCAGACTCAGCCGCACTGACTCTCTTTCCTTCCTCCAGGATGGACTCCTCGTGCTGCATTTTGGACTCGTGCAGCCTCCCCGGAGATGAGATGGGGAGGGCAGATCGCGGAGGGTCCCTTGTCGCTCGGGTGCAGGGGGTGTGTCATCTCCCCATAACATCGACCGTGCCGCGCAATGCCTTTTCGAGCTTCCTGATTGGTGAACCTTCTGGGAGGGTTTGACTGCAGTAATGTTCTCTAAATGCCTGCAAGGCTGAATTTTGAAACATCAATGAAATGTCCCCCATCCCCAGGAACAGGACATCTTTCTTTGCTCACAGCGTTACGAACAGTAGATCCCAGTGTGCTGTATCCAAATAAAAACAGATATGAAAATGCTTACATCAAGGGCTACATGTTTTTGCATGGCATGTTCACTTGCTAGTATTTCTGAATGAAATTTATAGGAAAACAGAATAGTCTGTCTTTCAGAAAGACCGACTGATGATATTGTAATTAGCAGGCACATTTGCTAGAATTTAACCATGTTTTTTTACACAATGGTTCTAGAAATTGGTTCATATTTGTAAATATCTTTGAAAAATAAGTATGCATTTTATCCACTGTGAGAATTTATTCTGTCCTTCAGGATATCTTGAGTCAGGGTAATGTGCTTTGTCTGAATCCTTCCAATCATTAGGACAACAATTCAGGATTCCTTCTGTCATACTAAACAATTCTATCGGGGACCTTTAGCAGTCGACTTTGTTCAGGGATCTGTCAGTCCTCATGGAAAGAAAACAATATGCAAGAGTCTCACGTGCCACTTGATTTCAGTGCCGGTGTTTCTAAAGAGGCTTTTTGAGGGCATGAATTCTACACTAAAAAAAAAAATTAAATGTAAGAAGCATTTTACTTATACTGACGTGTGAGCTTCCTGTAAAAGAATGTTTACCTCATTGTTTATTTTTCTAAGTAACGTAACATCAGTTCTGTAACAATGTGCGAGGGATATTTGCCGTTTGTTAACAAATACGCAGGCTGCCTGCTTGCACACACGGGATTGGCTGGCCTTAGCAGACATGGAGGTCCTCTGGCTGAGAATCGGACCGGCGGCGCTGCCTCGCTGAACTGTCTGCCTGTCAGATCCACTGAGCTTCATGAAGCTCTACCCCCCAGTCTGGGGCGGTATCCAGGGCGACACTCTCTGTGCTAAAAACTTAACCCATTACTTTGACACTTCCACCTCTTAGTGTGCTTTAATTGTGCACTGCAGTTGTGTATCGTGCTTGAAATTGTTTCCATGTTTATGCAAAACAGAAACTGCAGCTTTACTGATGTGCTTGCTTGCCGTCGATTGCATTATATGTCTTGGGGTTTGTTCACCGTTGTTCCTTTATTCGTCAGTGTCTCTGATGCTTCAGCAGCATCCAGCAAGCTGCGGAAGCCACATGAGCTGATGTGTTGATGTACTGTTTTTTATTTATTGTGAGGTTTTTTAAAAAAAGTTAATGCTATACATGTTAATATAGAAAATGCTGCATTTGATTGCCTTCTAAAATTTGCTGAATCACAATGTGTGTCTTGCCTCTTGTTTGCTGATTTTAATAAAAAGCAAGACTTGTAAAATGAAATGTAGAGTTCATGGGGGTCTGTCATCCTGGAGGGTCTCTTTGCTGAGAGCGTCTGTGTCTTTGTCATGTAATCTCAATAGCAGGAAGCTGATGACTTCTTTTAGCTTAAGGCAGGGGTGGCCAATCTTATCCGCAAAGGGCCGGTGTGTATGCGGGTTTTCGCTGCAACTCCCTAATTGGATTACTAATTATAGAGGACTGATTGGCTGAAGAGTCCTCGCACCTGGTTTTGAACAGCTGACCTACAGGTTATCCCAAAAACCTGCATACACACCGGCCCTTTGCAGATAAGGTTGGCCACCCCTGGCTTAAGCTTTCGCTTTTGTCCCATCATATGACTAACTTAGGTTACGCAGAAAATCGATATCAGACTAATCTGACACCATGCACTTTGGTTAGGTAGAGCTTTAATTAATGTAGACAAGAAAGTTGACTCTTTGCCAACTGGCATAATTATCACTGGGGCAGTTTCTAATTATGAACTGGAGACTCTTAATCGGAGGGCATCTGACCCAAATCCTCTGATATTAAGTTTGCTGCTCGCATGTTATTTCATCACACACAGGGTATGTGATGTAGGTTATATCAACGTACATCTCACTCACCACCTGGGACACATCGCTGAGCCTGTGCCAGGGTACGTGTAATAATCCGCAGCGTTTTTAATGGATATTCTTCTGTATTCTTCCCAACTATGGAATACAGGCTGTCCTTGGATTAAGAATGTCTGACTTACGGACAACTCGTATTTAAGAATGGACTGTCATAAAGCCTATTATATTAAAAATTTGAGTTAATTGCAATGGTTTATAATAATGAACGCACACATTACTTTATGATGCTCGTGAAAACATTGCACAGCTTCAGCGATTCGTCATCTTGAGCTACAGTACAGTACCGTATGTAGTTACTTTTACTACTGCATAATTATTATTGTTATTATGTACTGTATAATTATTTTTTACCTACAACTGAATGACAGACTTGGGGAGCTGGGTACTGCCTGTACACAAAGCATTTTTTAAATTTATTTGAAAGGAGAAGCACACAGGAGTTCAGATGCAGCTTGTTGAGTCTTTAGGGAGCGACTCTCCCTTTGCCGTCAGCGGGCGGCACTGCAGGGGTTTACATTTTTGATGATATGCGGCATGTGTGACAATCTGCACAGTCGCTGAGGCCTCTGGGTCCTGCTGCTGCTGCTGGTTCCATAGGTCAGTACTGTACCGGTACCGGGTACCGGGTACCACTTTCTGTTTTTTGTTTTTTTTCCCTGTGCTTTTCTTGCCTGGAGACCAGAAAGGATCTGGGCAAATGGTGGGCAAAGGCCGGTTATTCATTGTATAGTTTTAATCCAAAAGTGTCAAAACACTACACAGTTTCTCAATTTTGATTTAAGCAAAAAAAGCAAAAAAAAAAAAAAAGCACAACACATTTCTTAAATAAGACAGTGTACATTTAGTGTAATTAGAACATTAATCTGACCAGTTAAACTTAGTTGTAATAACTATTTTCTTGTTAATATCGTGAAGAACCACTCAGGGGTGTAGTGGGGAACTTTGGGCTCCTTCGGCACCTTCTGCATTCTGTCAAATGGGGAGAGGGGTCCCTAGATCCAAAATGCTATAGAGCAAAAGTAGCATTCTGTTGCTAATACAGACCTTTAAGTTTAAGTGTTTTAATAACACTAGCTGGGCAAAGGCTCCAGTTATCAGAGGCCTAAATGAATTGTTAAATAGCTGAACATGAGTAATTCGTCCAGAGATTAGACAGAGATCCCAGTTAGCACAACATCAATGACAACTGCTCCAGAAATGGTAATGGGACAGAACCGATCTGTTCATTGGGGGGGGGGGGTGTCCCTGCACTGTACATGCTGGATGCTGATGTTGCAGATTTACAGTAATTATTTTAATTTCCTTTTGTAATTCACTGTCTTTGCCTCGGGATGGGACATCGGTAGGGTGACCTGACGTGTGACACCCAGAGCAGGAAGTTCAGTATATTGCTCGACTTTCTCTCAGTAATAGAGCTGTTTTACTGGGAGACTGGAAATTAATAGCCATCATCCTCACACGCTGCTCTTTCATCAAAGATGTGACTTGTACCTGAGGTTCACATCAGGATTCCAGTGTCCGGCCGCTCCTGCACTGGGGGCCACCTTAATGCAGCCAGCGAGGGGGTGTAGCAGCCCCCCCTTCCTTAAAAGGAAGTTACAAATATAGTAATCGAATATAATAGAATTACAATAGAGTACAAAAAAAACTGTATTGTACACCGCAGCTGGATCAGTACTGAGGAGGAGGGAGCTACACAACAGCTGCCTAGACCAGGCCGTCCCTCAAAACTCAGCAGGCGCACAAAAAGGAGAGCAGCGGGGGGGCCAGGATGAAACGGCAGGTAACAGTCACTCCTGAACAGGGCACAAAGCCACGTACAAGTTGTCTTAGGTTCATGGTTTGACTTCTGAGATTCAGATCAAGCTCTAGGTAATTTTTTTTCGAACTGGTTGGTTCGACTTTTAAGAAATTTGAGTTCTAATGAGCTTGAGAACTGAGGTACCACTGTACTAATGTGCAGGGCTTAAATACTTATGCAAGCAGCATTCTCCAGTTTTTGATTTTCTTTAAAAAGATTTGCTGACAGTGAATTGATTTTGACTTTGAAAGTCTACTGTGAGAGACGATAATTTAGCACTAAAAATTCTGGCAGGAAGGCTGTGTATCATTTGTAATCCAGAAAAGTCTGATCATTTTAAGAGCGGTTTTATACCTCTCCAAGGCACTGATTTTAGTGATAATTTGATTAACATTTTATGTCTGTCCTAAAACTTTGGTCCCCACAATGTGACAAAAATGGTAAATTGAGTTTTATAAAAAATTTGTGACTGCAATCAAAAAATGCCAAAAGTATTGTATTTATTTTTGGTTACTTATGGTTAAGGGTAGGGCTGGGTAGGGGTTAAGGTTGTTAATGTTGGGATTAGGGTTTTTCCCATATAAATGAATGGATGGTCCCGACAAAGATATGAGTACAGGTCTGTTTGGTTCAAATTGATTGGACTCTGAAGGGCTTCTACATTACCTTGGTGGCAAAGCAAATAATCTCAGATTAACAGGTTGACAACAAGCTGTCCCTTATTACATTACACCTTTGTGACTACAGGTGAAATTAAAGGTGAAAATAATGGAAGACATTGAAGCACATTTTTTTTTATTGGTATGTGCCATACAGCAGTAAGGAACAGAGGAAAATTGTTTATCTAGATTCAGAAACAACTGGCCTTGTCATTTAAGAAGACTAATTCTAGAAAGAGATACAGCACATCAGTACTCAAACCATACACTGCACATACACAACTGCCAAACTCAAAAAGTTGGTGTCGTTAAGGCATTTTGACAACCTACAGCATTATCTCCTTTTCTGTGGGTAACACTTAGGAAATTTTTGTTAAACATTTAATCAACCCTTGATGCACATGCATTCTGCCAAAGGGCATCCATGCCACTTGCATTCATACAATCATCGGCAAGCTTAGTCACCTGTGCCTCGCTGTGCTTGGAACAAATTTGATTAAGGGCCCCAGGCCTCATCAACCAGCATTTTATAGTTATGGCAGACAGCACAGAAGAATGATGGACATCCACCAGTTTCCCTCAAAATATTAGCCGGAGTGGCTGCATTGAAAGGACGTCTGACAACTATATGTTGTCCTTATATTTGTATATTTTTTTTCCCAAAACACTTATCCATGTCCCCCCTCCAAAGGCTTAGAAATGACTGGAAGCTCTACAGAAATTCAAACAGTTGGAAGACACATCAGACCGAGTAAAGTTGTGCCTGAAATATTAATTTCAAATTAGTTGGACAATCACTTAACTCTGAGACATTGGATGAGATAAATTCCATCTCACAGTGACACATTTGTCTCATTCATGCAAGTGGTCAAGCACACAATGCATTCTGATACAGTCAAGCTAACAGTCACAGCTGATTAAATTCGAGGCCCTGTTCTGTGGTATTCTAGCTCATATATTTTGTATTGCTAAGGCAGGGTAGCACAGTATAGATTTCTTAAGATGCATCCCAGGCATCCTTATGGATATTTAATGTTTTTGTGCACATAGTTAAGAGCCATGGTCTATCAACCTATGAATTTTGTGCTGAACATTTTGTAAACCAAAACCCTGCTCGACTAAAGTGTACATTGGGTAACTGTATAGATGAGATTGACTAGTGCAGATGTTCTTAGCACATTTAATCAAGGAGCACAGCTGAAATGATATTACTCTGAAACAGAGACTCTCTGAATATGAAACTTCAACAATTCACATTCATTGTAGAAGCTGACTGCAGGAATACAGCCACCCTACTTACTGAAATGCACCCTACTTACTGAAATGCACCCTACTTACTGAAATGCACCCTACTTACTGAAATGCACCCTACTTACTGAAATGCTGAACATAATTTCCAACATTCGGCCACACTTTTGAGCCTTGAAGTTGCTTGGAGATATGCTACAATGAACAGAGAAATGCAGGAAATGGAGAAGACTTCATTTTCTACCCTATGGTCAGGAAGACACAGTCAGTGACAGTGGCCTAATGACACACCATGCAAACATGAAAAATACACCATGCAACTAACTCTTGAATTCGATAACTTGTTTTTCTAAGTGCAAGTAAAGAGATGCATTAATATATCAATAGCATTCTTGGAGAGGAATTTCTCTTTTTCGTTTTAGGTAGAGGCCTTTTCGACAGTAAAACTTCAGTGGAGAGTAGATGTCTACCTGCAGATGATCGTTCACATTTTTAACCGATTCATTGGCTGCACTGTCTTTGAAATGGTTTTAATACACTCCATTTGGGTACTTCTAATAAAATGTGCTAGATGCTCTACTTTGGAACACCAAAGGTTGATCATTGTCCATCACTATTGACTCATCAACATTAGTTCTCAAGTTTTAAGTAGGCATTTCGATATTATTTGTGCTGGATACATGAATTACTAAAACAAAGTCTGAAGAAGACAAATGCTTATTTTCAGTCATACCAGTATTTGCAGAATTAGAAATGCTTGATAGAATATATATTGTAGTTCTGAAATGTCTGTGATTTCTGGTGAACTTACACCCCCACACACCGTCTGGAATGTGTCGAGAATAATTTACGTCCTGTGGCAGTGCACTAATACTTAAGTCCATAATGGTGTCTGTATTGTACGTGTGGTTTTAAAGTGCCGTTTGAAATTTCTGGAGTGATGTTTCTGGAAACTCACATTGTAAGGTGTTCATAGTGCAGTGTCACAACGGTTGTGTGGTGGATTCCTCTCTGAGACCATTCCATTACAGAAAGGGAGGGGGGTGATTTAGTTTTTCTGGTTGGTGGAGTTGATGCTAATGGACTCGTTCTTCTCCACCTTCTTGGTGGAGGTGGTCTCCTCGACGATCTCCTCGAATGTGTCGCGCTGGATGCTCGTCTTGCTGGCTTTGGCCTGAGGCTCCTCCTCCTTTTCTTCCTTCTTTCCGACCTTGGAGGTGCTGGTGTAGATGCGGGTCTGGTACCCGTAGCTCAAGCTGGGGCTGGGGTTGGGGATGGCATAGGATATCCCCGAGCTGATGCGAGTTTCCTCTCCCTCCAGCAGTTTCCTGTGAAGGGAAGACAAAAAAGAGGACTTCAATCTGCCCCCCTACACGGGCTGGCGTGGAGAACTGACTCACTGATGGACTCTGCCTTTGACCACAGTTTATACCTTGCTTTTAGCAAGCAAGCCCACTCATTCTTTTCCTATTAAATGAGCATGCCCAGGGGGTCTGGGCAACCAGTTGACCTTGGACCCCCAGAGATTATTTTTGTCTTCACTTGGGAGTTTTTTGTTCCCCTCCTCTGTTGTCATCTGGCTTTCTTTCTTTCTTTCTTTCTTTCTTTCTTTCTTTCTTTCTTTCATTCTTTATTTCTTTCTTTCTCTTCCCCTTTCCCTATTCTTGAATTATTGTGCACAAATGATGCAGGAATGTATTACACCCATGTCTAGCACCCTTGGGTCGACTCTGTTGTGAAAGACGCTATATATAAAAATAAATTTAATTGGAAGTGCTAGGAGGGAAGGTCAGTCCTATCCGTCTTATTGTCACATGTGTCAGTGAAGAGAGCTATTGTTTATTTTAATGCTAAATTACTATGGTACTCTAATAACATGTTAAAGCAAAAACATTCAATATAAAAATTATTCTGCGAGAAGTGAGAATTTAAAGAGTAAACAGCCATACTGTGAATGATAATTACAATACTATTTTTACTGGGTTACAGCCAATGTAGCAAATAGAAATTAAAATTGCCAAAAACTGAGACTCTCAATTGATTTCACTTCCCAATCAGTCAATGAGAATGATGCTCTACCTATAGGCTGCAATCTCAATGTCCAGGGCCATCTTGACGTTCAGCAGGTCCTGGTACTCTCTCAGGTGACGTGCCATCTCACTCTTGGTGGCCCTGAGCTCATTCTCCAGCTCGTTGATTGTGTCCTGGTCACCGAATACAAAGAATGTTGCAATAACATGTGCAATAACGTGTGGTGCATGGATTACAGCATCTGTGGCACATTCAGCCAAGTTCATGAATCACAACCTCCTTGTCACCCCTGGGTTTGCAGAGATTTAGAAGAAAACGGTACATAATGCACCCATAACAACTGACTGACAGCTGTTTCCTATTAAAGGCTACTTGCTACATTTGAATTTACATCAGAATTTTAAAGAGTACTGAGCTTCACATAATTTGAGTAGTCTGTTCAAGTAAAGCTATACAAATCGTGGCACTCTTTCCCCTATGTCCAACAATGAGCTGACATGGTAATTTGGCATTCAGTTACAAAGACAGATTTAGAGTAAAGCCCTTAAGTCAGTAGTTAGTTATTGCCAGTCTGTGACCTTGAGTAACCTTGAGCATAATTTTCTTTATCTGGCTGGCGTGGGGCGCCTTGCTCTGAGAGATGGTTTCAGCACCATGGACAGAACGCGCCACCTGCGTTTGCGACCGCATAACTACATAAAAGTGGAATGTTCAGTTTCTATAGGCCTATTAATCAGCTCGTGAATTGCACATTAATTAATTTTTTTTGTTATGTAATGCAATCTCTCAGCGCACATCTCAAAATAATCGTTTGTTTGGATAAAATTAGCTTCCGTGTGTGAAATTATTTACATCAGGTTTTTAGATATTAACTATTGTCTATAACAGTTCCGTTTTTCTTTTACCCATGTGTATATTTCATTTACAACCATGCAATACATTTTAAGTACTGCCTGTTATTCAGGTAAACTGGAATGTCATACATATAATCTAATACCAAATTATTTTTAATGGTATCCTACCTGAAATCCAACAATTTCCGTATTATGCCTGTCTTCCATTTCCCGGATCTGCCTCTCCAGTGACTCGTTGGTTCCTCTGAGGCTTTCGATTTCGATAGTCTTGGACTGCAGTTGTCGCCTAAATTCGTTGATCTCTTCTCTACTTGCCCGGATCGCCTCATTGCTTCGGTTTGCTTGTTCACTTAGATCCGCAAACTTGGACTTGTACCACTCTTCGGCCGACTGCAGATTCTTGGCTGCCAGACTTTCGTACTGGCCACGGATTTCTTTCAGCGCAGACGTGAGATCAGGCTTTGCAACCTCCATTTCAACAGAGACCTGGGATGCCTGGATCATATTCATTAGCTCAGCCACCTCTTCCTCGTGAACCTTCCTCATAAAAGATATCTCATCCAGTAGAGACTCCACTCTCTTCTCCAGGTCCAGTCGGACGATGGTTGCATCGTCCACGTCCTTCTTGTAAGTTTTCAGCATCTGCTCTACATCCTCTCGTACCCTTATTTCATCTTCATACTTGGATCGGAGTTTCTCAAAATCGTCCTCGATGTTTTCTCGTTCAATCAAAATCTGCGACTTCTCTCCATTCAACAGCTCCACCTGGGAACGGAGCTCTCGGATCTCCTGCTGGTATAAGTCTGCAAGTCGGGACGGCTCGCTTTGCCGCTGTCGCAGCGCCACCAGCTCGGTCTCCAGCACTTTATTCTGCTGCTCAAGATTGCGCACCTTCTCGATGAACATTGCGAAGCGGTCATTGAGCCCCTGCATCTGTTCTTTCTCATTCGTTCGGATAATTTTAAACTCATTGTTGAGGACTGAACTCTGGGTCAAATCAAGGCTTTCGGTTAGCACGGGCGAGTAAGAAGATCGCCCTGGTCTTTTGTAGGAGCTCAAAGAAGAGGAGCGGGTCAGAGACTGAGACCTAAAGCCACTAGAGGAGAAAGAACTTCGGGAGGAAGAGGCACTGCCCAGCCGCGGAGGAGAGGCAGCATAGCGAGGGGAGTCCCCGAAAATCTTTCGGTAGGAGGAGGAAGAGTACAGCTCTGATCCGTAACTCATCCTGGCGACCAAGGACTAGGAGAGAGAGAGCAGAACACCCCTCGCATCTTCTTTATATAGCAGGACCGTGCCAATCAATAATTAACGTGGTCTAATGCGAACTTTAAGCCCGTCACGTTGCAGATTTTTAGCGATTATTCAAACACCATTTAAATATAACAGCTAGTTTAAAATTATTGTCATACTAAGATGCATTTTATGTTATGAAACCCCCTTTTTCAAACTGGAAAAAAAATCGCTGCGTAAAATATTCCTTCAAATTAGTTAACAGGATTTTGGAAATGGAACTGTCCGTTTTGGCGCAGTGCTGATGTCAGCAAGAAATATACTTCACTCTTTGTTGTAACAGTCCATGTCACGTTTAAAAATATCAATGATATGTTTAGTTTTAGACATGATTTTTCCTCTTTACACAACTCCACAAAAATAGCGTGCATACATTGGGTTACAAATCGTATGAAGGGTTTTACCTTTAATTTATATTTTCATGGAAAACTGATCTTCTGTTTCACTTCAACATTTTCTTACATATTATAATTGGTTTATTGATTCATTTTGCGCCTGTATAAATCTATATTTCTCGATATATACTAAATTGTATGGCAGCAGCCACTTAATATAAATACTTTATAAGATTTGTTACATAAACACAAACATAATCACAGAATACGTGGTTTGTTTTATTTGTCTTTATATGAGCCTGTTATTCTTATAAAGTAAGCCTTCCCAATTTAGATTGTGCGTGCAAATAGTCTGCATCAAAAGAAGAGGGATATGCTGCCCTCTGCTGACGTGTCGCTTTTGGGTACCAGTATATAAAAAAATAATTATGACCATGACGTCAGAAGGGAGTGACATTTTAAAACGAAAAACGTATCATTGTGCAACGTACTGATTAAAGAATACATTGTGGAAGTGAAACAATAGGCCTAACTAAACATTTGTAGCGTATACGTTGCTCTATGGGTGAGGTAGGTAGCAATTAAGTGACATTATTAACAATGCGCCAATTGTCCACCTGTTTTCTACGCTTTATTTCTCAACTTCAGTATTCCGTTTCTTACGGAAACACCTGCTTCATACTTCGCTTAACAGAAATTAGCTGATGTTTGAAAGTTGCATAGGAAGATGTAGCAAGTAGGCTAACAAAAACTACCACTAGATGTCTCATATTTTTTTGGGTACTGCAATAAATGTTTGAGTCTTTCTACAAATTATCCACTTATCCTAGTTAAGGTAGCGGGATAATATTAGCTATTAAACACAAAGACAAATTTAGATTTTTTTCTTATGGGTTCAGTGGGCAGCACGCCACTCTCTGAAACGGGTGTGAGAAAACTTATGTATTAAAAAAAAAAATCCATCAGTTTTATACTCTTTTTCCGGCATATGACTTTCTCTACTTCGTACATGCTTCTTTCATGTCTTTCTGACCACTATCCGCGGACCTTTGGCCCTGAACTATGCGCAGAGAATTTCCAACGTGTCACTTGGACTCGTGAACGAGCTCCGAAGCGCAGGCGCATCTCTCTTGCCGCCCCATAGGGACCGCGCCGCACTAGGGCGCATGCGTATTTTCGCAAGCGCTGCGGAGCACTGAGGTAGGTGTCTTGAATCTTGTGTCCTGCGTTTTCATTAATGAAACTAGCGGGCGCGTCGTGTTTTTCCTCATTTTTATTATTAAGAGTTGAATAGCTGAGGTTCTGTGGGCCACATTCGAATGACACGTTTCCCTAAATCGTATACATGAGAATAGACCTTTGCCTGAATGTGCGGCGAGGCACCGGGAAGCCAGCAAACCGGCCTGTGCGGAGAGCTGACTGGCTGATCGCTGGATTTTTATCTCCAGTGTTAAACTCAGCAAGAGGGGCAATAAGTGTCTTTTTTTCCCAGTAAAGGAGGGTTTGTTATACGTAAAAACCTTTCGAGTAGTGGGATGGACGGCTGCCGGCTAGTGGTAGCACCTCAGCCAACGAAACTGAGAGGAAATGTTAACATAAAGCTGTCAAATAGCTCTTAGCTCAAGTACATCGGAGTTTCGGAGGACAAAGAAAAATGGCTAACTGTCGTTTTGCCGCTGGATGATGTGCATAACTGGATGTTAATTGCTGGCAATTACCTGTATATTTGTCTTGAGGGGGTCTTCGGACACTTGGGTGACTTTAATACCGCTATATTAAGGATGACGTAACCGACAGCCGCATCTCATCGCCCATATTTACCTGTTTACTTATCTCGCTCTAACCAGCTGTTGTCGGTCGGGTTTGACAGGCCGTGATTTATATATACCGGTTTATCCAGAGCTACACATATTTTGCTCTGGTTTTATGCCTTACTGACGGTAATGAAGTGATTTAACTTTTGTTTTTGAAAGTCTTATGAAGACGTTAACGGTACTGTCGGGCTGTCTGCGTTAGTAGTGATGTGTATAGCGTCAGCTGTGGCTGCCTCTGGTAATGATGTGTGGCTTTTGCTGGAGACCCGTTAAAGATTCCGTCCTGAACTGGGATTAATGCAGCTGGTCTGTGACGGGCAGACTAGATGATCCCTCCTCGGGAGATGTGCACGTCCTGTAGATGGGTGAGGGAGGTGGGGGTCTGAAAGTAAAATAAATTATTCTCGTTCTCTCTGTGAACGTGAATGCAAATGCGGTTAAACGTGCCGTTTTATTTGTGTGAGTGAAAGTAAAAGCAAAAAGAGATGTATATGTCCAAGGACCAGTGCTGATTATGCCCTATTTGCATTACTGGGGAACAAATGTAAAGGTATCTACTTTGACTGTAACTCACATCTGACAGTGAATCCTATTTCTACATTTTCCTTTCAGCTGACGTGTTAGATTGACAAAACAGAGTTTTAAAATTTCTGTTCATTGTCTTTTTTGACTTTAGGCGTAAATGTTTTCTTCGTTTGAACACGTTGTCTTGCAACACTTTATTTCTCAACCGAGCACACAAGTGTGTCTAAGCGGGTTATCTTGCTGTGTCATTTACTGCGAGGACACATCGCTCCGGGTTGGATGACAAGAAGGACACTCAAGGTTTTTAATGATGGGTGGAAATAGAAGATTTTGCAGGGCACAAGGGTCTGACAGAAGAAAATAAAGATTAACTAAACATCTTTATGTCAGTTATCTGTAGTTGTTAGGGCAAAGGTGAAATTCAGCAGCCTATCAGTAATAAAGACAAACATCTGCAGTTTCTTGGTTTCAAAATATGTTGAGTGGATTGTTTTTTTCCCTCTTTTCTCTCTGCTTCAGCATTGATGGCATCACCCCGCTTACTGTTTTGTAACTGCGTATCTCAGTGTGAGAGAGGATGGCACCCTTCCTCACTTCATTAAATAGTCCTGATTTAATTGGCTCAATCAGAAAGGTCACTGTGGCTCTCACTTTCCTTACGGGAGCCTGTATGACTTTGGCACCAGCTTGTGTGAATTGTTCCACTGGAATGGCTGACAGGCTAGCTGCCCTCTTGCTTCCCAGTGACTCTGCTGATGTTAATGGAGATGAATGAGGCATGCTAGACACTGTGCATTGCTTCTCCTCTTGTAAGCTGAACATCCATTGGAAAAGTACCATTTTGGCTCTGGGAATGTGCTTGTCAGGCTAAGCTGGGAGTTTTTGAGGCTATATATAGGATCATTTTTGGAGTACCTTTCGTCATAATTTCTGGTAGCAGTCCATCTGTAAGCCATGTTAAAGCCCATCCTTATGGCCTGGTTTTAAAAAGACAACTGTAGCTCAGGTTAAATAATTAAATATCAGTGTTATGAACTATATCCACTTTAATTGTGTGATCTATTAGAAATATATCTAGTGTATGAATGTCCCATTTTGTTCAATTTGTATTTGTTATACCATTTCAGATGTTTGATTCTTGTTTCAGTTTTGCTTCATTTGTACTTATTTGCTATTTAAGTGTTAAAAAACAACATTGTGAATGTAATCATTAAGTCTAATAACGGGGAAAGTCCATCTGTTGAATTTTATGTTTTTGTTGCTTTTTTAGAACGCTACATTTTGAGGCACTAAAAATGACGACATCATGGAGTGACCGTCTACAGAACTATGCAGACCTTCCAGCCAACATGGATGGACTTGCTATGAAGAAGTATCGCCGAGAAGCCTACCACAGGTATAATGTTTTTGGGATAGCTGAAACCTCAAGGGCTGGCTTGCAAAGGGACTTCACATAATCCATGGCTGTTTTAGATGTTTTTTATGGCGTTATTGTGTGGTTGTTTTGCTTGTCTGAATTGCTGATTGATTAGGGCCTTTCTGTGAATAAAATTACTTTGGACTTTTCAGGGAATGATGGTTCAAAAAAACCCAGTCTCTTGTTTTTATAGCTATGGTATGTTCTCCCTACTGTTGTATTTTACCATTGTATTAATATATTTTTTCTGGACAGCCAAGTCATGGAACAGTGGTAGAGCTTTTTTAGGTTTTGTTTTTATTCTAGGAAGAATATCTTCTTCATTAAAGCATCATTGTCAATAAGACTCTTTGTGGTTTTTGTGTGAATTTAAACATACCACGTGTTTACATTTCATGTTACTGTCAGTTCAAAGGTTTGTTGTATGCCTTATTCTGTAGTACCGTCTTCAAAATGATATTCCGTTGCTTTGTCTTTGAAATGGGTCAGTCACTGGTACCTACAACCCCCAATAACTCCTCTGTGTGCTGTTATCATATATTTCACAAGAACTCTTGTGTAAATCACACTAAAAACATCTTCTGCTACCCATGCAGGTCATCCTAATCCTCACACGTGTGTTAAAAAGTGTAAAGTTAATTGACTTTTTGGGAATATTTGTATTTGTTATAACATTTGAGATGTTTGGTTATTTTTTCAGTTTTGTTTCATTTGTACTTATTTGCTGTTTAATTGTTAAGAAAACAACAACATTGTGAATGTAATAATTAAGTTTAATTGTATCTTCTCTCCCCATGATTGCTATTGATTCTTCTAGAGGTCTGGTTGAAACAATGTAATACCACACTGGCTGTTACCCTGGAACTGAAGGTGCATCTAAGGACACGTTCACTTGCTTTTTCTGGCATGTTTGTCTTTCTTTGTGCAAAGTTCCTGCCGCAGCAAATGTCATGTTAATCCTGAACAACTGTCAGTGTAATTACACTGGAACTGGATTCAAACCACCTAAATAATTGTATGTGTGTGTGTGTATATACACACCTGGAAATATTTTATGTTTGTTTTTGTTACTATGGTTAGCAGAATTGGTACATGTGTAATGCTTTCCTTTCGTTTTATACTGAAAGCCAGTTACACTGAATCATGTTGATCAAAGTTGTTATTCTCTTTTCCCCTACTTTGTTCTAAGAGATAATAGATTGAATCTGTGTCGTTTACGGCCGGTTCTGGAGTGCCCCGCTAAGAGTCTGATTACTGAGAGATGGCAGTGGGTTGGTTCAGCAGCCATCTTAATTGGTAAATCGTAAATGATGCGGTTCTCAGCATGCTCTGAAAAATCACAGAAACTCGCCCATGAGTACTAGGGGACTTGAACATTTGCTGAAAATGCCGCTTTATTCTTTTTTAATTATTTTTTTTATTTTTAAATAAAAAAAAAAAAAATTCTTGCCTTTGGGAGGTGATGCCTCTCTTTGTGGTCTTCCTGACTGCTTAAGAATGTGGCTGCGTTGAACCATCAAGGGGCCTGGGAGCACAGTGCAACTGGGGATTCACCAGTGCAATAAGCAATGCCACGGTGCTGTCAAGACGCACAAGCTGTAGACCGATTCGTCGCTGGACCTGTTGCTGCGCTCAGCCAGCCTCTGTCCAGGGCTCTCTTTGCTCCTGATGATATCCCAACAACTAGTGTGTTCCTCTAAACCATAACAGTTTTGGTTTTGTGAGTAATGACATACATACACGCACATTATTTGAAACAGATACATACAGATAAGGCATCCTAAGCTAAACAAGAGCCATTCCTTGGTAAAATACATCTATCTTACTGTTCAATCCAAGCTGGCAAATTCTGTTTGCTGATCATATTCTTTACCTTCTTCTCAGAGTGTTTGTAAACAGAAGTTTGGCAATGGAGAAGATCAAATGCTTTGGTTTTGATATGGATTATACTTTAGCAGGTAAGTGACATACAGCCGGACGTTTGAATGTAGCCTTTGGTACGCATCATTGTGTTTTTCTGAATGAAGTACTAAGCAGTATCCATCACACACTTAAATATCTTCCGAAAAGTATTATATGCATTACAACATGTAAGTAAGTCCTTTTTAGTAGCACTGTACATGTTGTTTATTAGCGTAAGGAGATAAAAGGGGAAGTTTACTGTAAAATATTCCAATTGTATGCCAACAGTGTAACTATAGCTGTTGGCTTCAATATGTTTTATGAGAAAAGCCACACAGATAAAGTTCACTAGCATCTGTTAACATCGTTATGTCAAGATGATACATTGTATCTCGGACAGCTTGTTTTTCGTTCGCCAGCCAAGGGTAAAAGTAGGAAACAAACGTGATGGTGCTACAAAATTTGCTTTCATGATGTTCATCTGTTATTAAATCACTAGCTGTATATTTGTGTAGTGTTGAGTTTAATTTCTTCACTGTCTGTTTTATACATTAAACTTGGTTAATATTATATTGCCCTGTACCCTGGAAATAAATATTGGGCAGAAAATGGCGCTGGGTGTTTATTTTACATCTAAGTGCTGCTCTAGCCCACTCTTCTCAGCTGCTCTTCTGGTAAACTGTCTAAAATAGCACGCCTTTTCAGAGGTCAGTTACTCGCGTGACCTGTGAAATCGATCGGTGCGTGGCTGGGTTGTAGTTTACTCATCATTTGTGCGTTTTTTCTGAACGTTGCCCCTTCGAGACACCATGGAGCACACCTGCCATTGTCTTCCTGTTTATGTGGATCCAAAAGCAATATTTTAAAGAGGGGGCATTACGTTGGTATTTTGGTACTACAAAGATACTATGCAGTATTCTCATCTCCTCATTATTACTCAGATAACTAAATAACTATGTACTACATATTTTATTTTATATCTCTCTTTGTTGGTTTCTTCATTCTTTGTCTGTTGTCTTATGGCAAAAACTTAAAACCACATGATACCACAGACCACCTAGTGCAGTTTGGCATCTTTAGTTGAATTGTACCACATTTAGGCCCATTGGTGAAATTTAATTTCTGTAGTAGTATACTGAGGTATCATAAAATTTTTGTGGAAACATTACAACTAACTGTAGGTCAATATGAGGTTTACCTAAGTCAGGAAGACAGTTTGTGGTGGATCAGGCAATTTGATCTGTACTAGAGGGAAGAAGATACTCATATTCAGTGGTTAAAAACAGACATAAAATGAGGAACAGTGTGCTTGGAAGGCGAGCACTTGTGATGTGGCTTGTAGTAAGCAAGTTTCTGGGCACTTGTTTATTCCAGAAGTCCCTTCTACTTTGAATGATGGTCAGCTTGAATTTCAGAATGCAAGGGTTAGTTGTTTGTTTGTTAGAAAGCATTGCATGTGTAAAATGCATTTTGCGTGTAGTCTCCTGGCAAGCAGAAGAAGGTTGCCAGGCAGACTGAAGCCGTGGAGGATAAATAGGTCCCCCACACAGCACTTGGACCTGACATGGGTCTGTTTATCCCAGAATGTAAGCGATACTGGAAAGTGAGGCAATGCTACCTGTGTCACTGCTGGCAGAGGGGCAGGCGGGCATTTATAGCGTCCTGCATAATTATCTGTCAGTGAGTGTGTTCGCGCCATGATATAACGTAGAGGGAACCAGAGCTGGGGGAGCTGTCAGTGTGGCAGAAATATGAGTTTGTCTACAGCAGTGTTTCCGAACCCGGTCCTTGGGGCCACCCAGGCGGTGCTCGTTTTTGCTCCCTCCCAGCTCCCAGTATGACCAAGTCTTCCAGGGAGCTGCGATGGAGCGAAAAAATGTGGACCGTCTGAAGGTCCCTGAGGACCAGGTTGAGAGAAATATTGGTCTACAGGGCCAAGTGGGGCATAAAACATGGTGTGAAAAGTGGAGTGCACCCTCCAGCATCTGAGGACCTCCCCTCCGCTGCCCTCAGCCACTCCTTCCACCAGAGGAGCTGAGTAGGAGCTTCTAGGTGCTGCTGGGCGTTCATTGATGATCCTGACCCATCCCATTTTCATTGCATCTTTTCACCTCTTGCCTCATATGAGTGTATAAGTGGGTTACCATACAGTTACTGTCTGACTGGTGCACAGCATGTGAGCCAAAATAAGCAGCAATGAACAGAAAGAAGGACAAGTCACAGTGTGTACTAGTGATCTGTCTCCCATTTTTTCTTTTTGTCTGGTGTCCCAAATCTCCCCCTGTCCCATAGAGTGCCCTTGGCCTTATGTCACTATAGAACAGAAGTGGTACAGCTCTGCACTGTGTTGTTTTCCTGTAATGAACTACACAATTTTGGGCTAGTCGCAGGTCATGCCACAGACATCATGAAGTGGTGCGTAAACACACTTCAAACTTTAAATCCTGTTAAATATATAAATCTTACAGGAGCAGGATTATAAAGTTTGATGAAAAATGAATTTGGAAAAGAAAAAGTCAATGTAATTATCTGTATGAATGATTGTGACCCTGACAGTTAGTGTAAAGATGCCTCATTGTGCACGTGGGTAAGGGGAAACTTGCCAGTGAGTTTAATATCTGTACCTGTACAGTTTTCTAGCCACACAAAGTTGATTCCCCTCATTTGTTTATGGTATATCCTCTTTTCTCGCAGTGCTGTATGTTGCATATAGTAAGGTGGACTGCCTTACCTCTGACGTGCTGTAATTTTGATAATTACACCTCATTCACTTTTAAAATTACTGTTCTTCGAAGACTTTGTGTGCTGGTAATGGCTGCTAAAGATTCCACCCTATAATCATGCTTCCAAGTGAAAGTTAATCGTTCTCTATGAGGCGCTCTGTACAGAACAATCACCTGAGGAATGTCGGAATAGAGGCTGAGATCTGAGGCACAGCCCATGCCCATGAGGTTAACCTGCTTGTATTGTGTTTTCAGTTAATTTTTGCACATTTTGTTTCGTTTTTGAACTGGAGTCAGTTTGACAGTGAGGCGATGCTTTCTGTGGTCTCCCAGGCATATTTCTGGTCAGACGAGTTGCTCGAGAAGAGCTCAGCATGCCACGCATCGCTGGCCTTCCCTCTCAGCCACACAAGCACTCAGACTAACAGCCGACTACCGTGACCTGGAGTAGAAGCGGGGCGCCCCAAACCTTCTGCAGACTAGCAACCCCGGCCTTAAATAACTCCACACTGTGCAGAGGGCTCTACGCCTTGCAGATGTCGCTGTTAGCGTGTAAACGCTGAAATTACCCAGGAAGGCTGTAGGGGTGCTGCGTGGCTCAGCAGGATAGGCTCCTGTGCCTGTGATCAGGAATGTAGCCATTAAAATCCCTGGGTCAGCATCACCTTCGGGCACCTGAGCGAGGCCCTCAACTCCCAGCTGCCCCAGGGATTACCTGGCCCTGCTTTCCTTTGGATGAAAGCAACTGCTAGATAAATGTGATGCATTTGTATAGAGTAGGCTATCTATCTTTGCCTAAATGTCCCCCCCCCCCCTTTTTTTTTCTTTGGCCTGAGCGGTTTCCACACTCCTATAGGACAGGGGTCAGCCTAGAACTTCCCAAGGTCGAGTGAGATTTGCACTTCAGAAAAACTGAGTGCCGGCAGGCAAGGTGACGAAAAGCCACCGCCTCAAAATAGTTGCTTTTGTAGCCGAGACAAGCTCTTGGGGGAAATGGGGGGGGGGCGAGGAATCTGGTGGGAATCGCAGAGGCCTTCCGTACGAGCGCAGCATTCAGATCATCCCTCAGAACAGCCCCACAATGTTTGGCATTGTTTGGCCCTGAGGCTGCGGCCGACTTTCCTCTTAAATGTCAGGCCAAATGGGGGCCTGGAGGCTGGCCAGGCTCAGCACCGCGGGATCCCGCACGGCGCCCTGTCTGCGTGCGATCCAGCCTTTGGCTGCTCGTGGGGCCTCAGTACGCGTTGTTATCTCGCCGCTCTGCCGTGCTGCGTTCCCTTTTATTCAACAAGTGGGTGAGTCAGCCCGTTAATCTGTTGATTAACTCGGCCGTTTAGTAAAATCCCTTCCTGCTTCATGAGCGGCACACAAAGATCACTCCCCCAGTGCCTCAAGTCTCACAGAATAATCAAGAAAATGTCATGGAAGAACAAGGATTTTTTTTTTGTTCAATATATTGTTTCATCATTGTTTTCACACACCTCATTCCTTATTTGAATTGGCTTAATTCATCATTCATACATTTTAAGTTTGCTTGTACTAAATACATGTTATTCCTCCTCATAATACTAACTTGCACCTGCTGAAGGCTCTTCGACTACTGGGGTTTTTCAACAGCCCAAGGTTTTAAAAGCAGAAATTCCTCTAACAGCAGCTTATCTGTCTGGCTGTAGTATATAAGTCCCCGGAGTACGAATCCCTGGGCTTCGATCTGACTGTGGAGAGACTGGTCTCCATCGGATACCCTCAGGAACTCCTCAACTTTGTCTACGATTCGACTTTCCCTACCAGGTGAGGATGACCCCGGGCAAGGAACAGGTTGGCTTTCAGTTATACAGACCACTGTATATCGACAGTAACGCCCGCTGGCTAGCAAAGCAAGTCCATGATTTTAAATATTAAATTATCTGATTGCCTTGTGGGGTGTGTTGAGCAGCTCTACCTGTTAATACATCTGCATGCAGGACTTGCACCTTGAGTTACCAACCAAGTCAAAGGGGTATTGTTTCTATACAAGCCTTTGCCGTTTGTTCGCGTTCACATTTTTCCCTTTCACATTGACAAGTTTATGCAATAATTCTTGCTGCCATTTTCATCATCTGAATAAATCTCACAACTACACTCACAATGTAAATGACTAAATGGGAGCAGCCGGTCAGACATTGTGGCAGCGATGTAGGGAAGAGGTATGTTGAGAGTGACGGTGTAACACATGTCCGAAGATTGATGTTGCCATTTCCCTTATCAATGAAGGGGCCTGGTGTTTGATACAATGTATGGGAACCTGTTGAAGGTGGATGCCTATGGGAACATCCTGGTTTGTGTCCACGGCTTTAACTTCTTGCGGGGGTGAGTGCCTTCAGACATGAGCTTCTCCCGTTATTTGGCCCGAGCATTTTCCTCCACCGTGGGACTGTTCTCGGCTACGTTCATCCATCACTCGCTCGACTGGCCTGTTCTCCTCACCTTTGTCCTTCAGTCCTGACATTCGAGAGCTGTACCCAAACAAGTTCATCCAACGGGACGACACGGAACGCTTCTATATCCTCAATACCCTCTTCAACCTGCCAGGTGACCAGCCCTTTGTCTGACTCGGATCTCTTTGTGCGTTTTTACAGTGTGCGCAGTATTATGGGAATTATGGGATAGTGCTACCATAAAAAAGGAAAGGTTTTACAAGCTTGTTCTTAATATTTTTCTCTTGCAGAGACCTACCTCTTTGCATGCTTGGTAGACTTTTTTACCAACTGCGATAGATATGCAAGGTAAGAGCCCGTGGCTGTTTGCATCTGAAAATGCCCCTTGATAAATGATAGCCTGCGGAGATGCTGATGAGTCACCCCGAAAGAGGCTGGGCAAATAATACCTACAAAATGCCGCTATTAAGTACTTTTGGCATATATGGAGTACTGCGGGAGAGTGAAAAGAAAGAACGCTCCTCAGGGAGCAGGGTTTTTTTTTTTGGGGGGGGGGGGGGGGTGTCTGCTTATTCCAATGGGTGTTTACAAATCAGTCTGTTTCAGAGAAGAAAATGCACTGTCTGTCCTACAAGAGAGCTTTCTTTGCCACTACTTTGCACTTTTTATTTTGATCATCTTGGAGTTAATTTCCCCTCTTAATGTAGCTTGCACGTTGCTTCCAGATCCTTCTATCTCATCAGTAGGGAATTGCATGAAAAACTCTGGCATATCAGCAAACCATGCATGTACTTACTAATGCTGACGAGATTGCACGGTGAAATTGGATTTTCCCTTGCATTTCCGTTTCCCCTCTGAATGAGTAGTCTATCATAAGCTGCTCACGTAATTGATCGTGTGAGCGGGAGCAACAATGAAATGCAATAACACTCACAAAGAGTTGTGATCTGACTGTTTGTGATCTGAAATGGATGCACGTCCTCTGAAATGACTGTTGGTCTTTTAGGGGGAGAAAGCTTTCCTGTTTGGCTGGACACCTCAAACAAGGGAAGACTATCTCGTTTAAAGCAAGCATGTGAGAATGTCAGTTGCGTATACGGTTCAGGTCGGTCGTCACAAGGTCCTGCATTTTTGCCCCCTTAGCTGTGAAAAGGGTTTTAAGGACGGAGACCTCTTCATGTCCTACAAGAGCATGTTTCAGGATGTCCGAGACGCTGTCGACTGGGTTCACTTCAAGGTATGCTGGTGTTAAGGCTGGGAGGCACACAGAACCTTCTGGCATGGGGTTTGGGGGAGGGAATGGGGTTATAGGGAGCAGGGGTGGAGATGAGGTTTTACAAAGACTGGGGGGTTGAATGAGAACACACGACATAACCTAAAGTCAGCAGGGTATGGGATCAGAGCTCCTTGTACAAGGGGTAATGAAATGGAACGATGCTTTATTTGCCACTTGCAGAAATACATTGGAATACCTCTTTTCATATATTCCATCATGCCCTCCTTGAGACATATACACAATCATACGCACACATATACAGTTGAGAGTGAAGCTTGGGATTCGAGCGCCGGATCAGTCATTTATCTGGCACCCTTAGTGGATTTTGGGGGGGGGGTTCAGGACCTCGCTCAAGGGCCCGACAGGCATAAGACTACTCCGCCGAGGGCAGGATTCGAACCAGCGACCAGAGGCCTAAATGGCTGAGCCATCTGCACAGGTGGTGGTTCCCAGACTCTGCCCCTCCCTTAAAGACCCACAGCCCCTGTCTTCCCTCCTTACACGTTACAGTCATCGTCAGTCATATTAATGTTATTGTATTGTTGTATTATATGGATATTGCTGTTCATCCTCCTCGCCTGTGTGTTTGCATAGATATTTTATGTGTGATAACCTTTTATCTCCCTGTTATACTTTACAAGTCCTGTCATTTTTTTTTTAATCCATGTATTTTCCCACCAAACATTTTAGGGAACTTTGAAGGAAAAAACTGTAGAAAACCTGGAGAAGTATGTGGTAAAAGATGTAAGTAAATATCGTGTCTTTTCATAGTAATTTACTTACTGCTGAAAACTCGTGATTCTGTTTACATTCATGAAACCATATAACAAAGGTAAAATACATAGTTTGGACCCCCCACACATGCTAATCCTTGTGTCTCATTAGAATCATTTTCAAATAATTTAAGATACAATCAAATGTTTTGTATTGTTTGTTTGGTTAGTTTATCTGCACTGGTGTTTAATAGAGTGATAAATTTATCAACCTTGGCAATTCACCAGATAACTCCAAGCTTTAAAAATTAGGCGTAATTTCACTTTGGTCCTGTTCCTGTTTTTCATTGGAATAATGAGTGGCTATCAAAGTATCTAACGTCGTAAGCCAGGCTGAGGATGCACTAGCAACCACAAAGGACAGCTGCAGCCACTGAAGGTAGCAGTCACAGGTGGAATATTGACCGTGCTCAACCAGTCGGTCACTAAGACATTATCAGTCGGTCACTAAGACATTATCAGACATCAGTCGATCACAACTTCCATTCTCCTCCCCGATTGGCAAATAATATCGAGGGGACCCTCCTGATCAGCGGGATTCGGAAGCTCACCAGAAAAATTTCTTTGTGAAAGTAGCCATCACTGTAAAAATGGTTGTACACTGCTAATACAGAGACAGTAATATACTGCATCTACATGAACGCTGTCATTCACAGCTCCACTCAGTTCTGTAATAAACATGTGTGTGCCCAGCCTACGCTGATGTGACCCTTATCAGAAAGCCAAAAAGCCTTGTTTTCATCCTTAATTTCATTAATTATTTGGATTATGGGTAGTAGTTGGCACAATTGTTTAGCAAACGTAACCACCTATACATTTCTGTTTCTTTTCAAAGCCTTTTGTTTTCCAGTGTAGCTTTGAAACTCCCTTTCGTCAGCTGTGAAGTTGGTTTTGTTTTGTCTCCTTCATTCAGGGAAAGCTACCTCTTCTGCTGAGTCGCATGATTGAAGTCGGCAAAGTGTTCCTGGCCACTAACAGCGACTTTAAATACACCGACGTGAGTCTTGCTTTTAAACAACACTGTTTACTGCTTTGTGCACTTCTTCATTGTTTAATGATCAGAATGGTAACATCTGCATAGTCATCTGTCCTGCATACTATGTGTGATGTGTACCGACATCTGGTAAAACCAGGGCTCTCAGTTCTTGCACATCTGCCGTGACACCCATGCTTTCAGACTCATGCTCATGCAAGACATTTTACAGCAAATCTATATTATTACATTATAAACCTAAAATATACATACTATTTATAAGGTAATAAAACTGTTACATACGTGTAAATGCGTGTGCTTGTGTGTGCAGACCTGTCCCTATTTGAAGATCTCACTCCAGCCAACTGAAAGTTGGCAATCCTGTAAAACTGATCATTTTTAATTCTATTTTGTTTCTGTCTTCCAGAAAATCATGACATACCTGTTCGATTTTCCTCACGGGCCAAAGGTTAGTCAAAAATGTTGCCTTTGATTGGCTGTTTAGTTGATGATGTTTCATCTACATGCAGTCGCCAATCTCTTAGATACACCTGCTTATTAATGCAAACAGCAAATCATGTGGCCGAAATTCAATACATGCACATGTCAAGAGATTCAGTTACTGTTCAGCTAAGCATTAGAGCCGTTGAGATGGCTGATCTTTTGAACGCGGGGCAATTGTTGGCAGCGTCTGAAAAACAGTGACCTCCCTGGGATTTTAATGCTTCACAGTGTGCAGAGTTTGCCGAGGATGGTGTGATGAATGAAAAACATTCTGTCGATGGCATTTCTGTGGCTGATGTTAATGAGAGCGGTCTAAGGAGAATGGCCAGATCCCATAAACGCACATGATCAAAAAACACGGTTCGGTATAACAGTCTGTCTAGAGTAATTCTGGAGGAATAACTACCCAGTATTATCATGGCTCCACTATCAGCAACACAAAGTCACGGTTGTGTTTCAGAGTCGGCCAGTTGGCGACCACTGATCTAGGTGTGGCTAACAAAATGGCGCAAATTGCCGGGTTGAGCAGCAGCAGGGTGGGACACTGTGGCCTCTCTGTAATGTGTAATGTTAGGTTCACCATAGTCTGCCGTAAGGCAGCTCATCTCCAGCCCACATTGGCCCCAGCGAGGTTCCTCCTTTATGAATACAGATTTGGCGCCTCCATGCCGTTTCCTTGGTGGTAAGCGGAGGCTGTGCTCATTGACGGCTGCGTGCCGTGTGGGTTTATCTCACCGAGCCGGGGTCCTGCTCTCTTCAGGTGGGTACGGCCCATCGATCCTGGCAGTCCTACTTCGACCTGATCCTGGTGGACGCAAGGAAGCCGCTGTTCTTCGGCGAAGGGACCGTGCTCCGCCAGGTGGACACTGTGAGTAGCCGGTCACCCTCTGCCCCCTCCCTGCCCTGTTCTCTTTGTTGCCCCGGTAACCCACTTTCAGTCTGATCCACACGCGCGCTGCGTTTCAGACGACGGGCCGGCTGAAGATCGGGACTTACACCGGGCCGCTGCAGCATGGCATCGTGTACTCTGGAGGTACGGACCGCGTCCAGGCACTGGTGCACTTCCATGGTGTCCCAGGGCTCCACTGGGGTGGGAAGTATCATCATCAGGCTTTTGAGGGTGAAATTGTCTGTGACGGGTTGGCACCCCATCATAAGTAACAGGACAGTATAAAGAGCAACCAAGCTCAGTATAGTGCTGGGAGTCTTTAAACCCACACAGACCCCAAAGTCATTCTGTGAAGCAATCATGGGCCCCTAGGATTTGGATTATTTTTTGTCAGTTTTCTGAGCATCGTGCCGGGTTTGTCTCTCTCGCCCCCCCACAGGGTCCTCAGACATTGTGTGTGACCTACTGGGGGCAAAGGGCAAAGACATCCTGTACATCGGAGACCACATATTTGGGGACATCCTGAAGTCCAAGAAGCGGCAGGGCTGGCGGACCTTCCTGGTGATCCCCGAGCTGGCCCAGGAGCTCCACGTGTGGACCGACAAGAGCTGTGAGTGGCGGCCTCCGGCGGAGCCTCGCGCAGCCGCTGACGTGCGGCACTGACCCCTGACATGCTCTCGCTTCCGTTCCTCTTTTACAGCCATATTCGAGGAACTGCAGAGCTTGGACATTTTCTTGGCAGAACTCTACAAGTGAGTACACCCGACACCCCCGCCCCCCAGTTATCGCTGCACCGTGTCACTCCGAAAGCGATGGCACAAAGTCCAAGCGTCCCTTCTATTTTTACCCATGGTGATCTCAGTGCATCTGTATCACAGGCATCTGGACAGCAGCAGCAACGAGAGGCCGGACATCAGCACGATTCAGAGACGCATAAAGGTACCCGGCAAGACCCTTATGTGTGTTCCACCAGTGAAGTGCTTTTAGGCAGGTTGTCAGTGTCGTTATGCCAGGCCAGAAGGTGTATCCATGTGCCCTCCAGCAGGTGTCGCTGTTGTCTGAAATCTTTCAAAATCAAAATAAAGCAACATCCAAAATAACCTATAAACTGAAGTGTCATCCATGTGTATGTATCCTTGGGCCTTATAAAACACATTCGTGACTAAAAAGTGAGCGTGTGCTCCGTCTCTAAATCCAGAAAGTGACCCACGACATGGACATGTGCTACGGCATGATGGGAAGCCTCTTCCGCAGCGGCTCGCGGCAGACCCTCTTCGCATCGCAGGTCATGCGCTACGCTGACCTGTACGCGGCCTCCTTCATCAACCTGCTCTACTACCCGTTCAGCTACCTCTTCCGGGCCGCCCACGTGCTGGTGAGTGCCTGGCCAACCGCGCAGCGAGACGCATGCAGTGCCGCCGTTTCCCTCAGCTTGGTTATGAATATTTTAAAGCAGCCTGAAGGTCTAAAGGCCTTGCAATGTTGTTTTTAAGTTTATTTCAATGTCAGAAATGCTGAACTGGAACTATTTCATAAAGCTCATATAAGTGTTGAATGGGGATTTCCAACACGTCGCACTTTGAACCTCTCTAAGCCACAAGCCTAAAGTGCACAAAAAGTGGTACAGAGAAAATCTGTACTAAACTAATTGCGCTCAACAACCCGGTGTTAATCCAGACAAATACACGATTGTCCCTCCCTTTTCCAGCAGATAATGACCAATGGGAAGTCATCTGTCAGGAACACCAATTAACAGCTAGTTAGACTTACGACATCATCAAGGTAGAAAAAAGCAAAGGACATTAATGAATATTCTAAAAATAGAATGCCTTCATACGTTCATTAAAAACTGGCTTTTTTTTAGCTGATCTGGATGTAGGATGTTTTTTTTTTTTTAAATGGGAAACATTTAATACATTAAATGAATAAATATAAAATGCTCATAGCACACGACCACCTTCATTTTTTCGAAGTAGCCCTTGAATGACAAAAGGTTGGGGACCCCTGGTGTAGACGGTATTGACTGGATGTCGTCTTGTGGTCAGATGAGTTCAGGGGTAGGAACACATTTACATGTTTTTCCTTTGCTAACTATGGCAGCTTCCTGTAGCTTGATTTACTCCCCGCTATCTGTTGACTTATTAAACGCCGCTACACGCCCGATTGACTTCGTGCTCCAGATATGGAGTGAAATGGACGGGAGGTGAATAACGGCCAGTTTATAAATAGAAATAAAGGCCAGTGTCTAATCCCTGTAACTGAATGACCGCTGGGCTTATGTGTGCCTGAGATCCTGGAGCGTGTTGGGAAATCAGGGCAGAGCCGAGTGTGTGGGAGTCTGGACTAGGAGCAGCTGCTCTGCGGGTGAGAACTCGTGCACATGTGCGCTGCACACACCAGTATGTGCGCTTCGCGGCGGCTGATGCGGTTCCCCGGACAAACATGCAGGTTCTCTGCGGCGTCCAGGGCAGAGGAGGTTCTCCGCCAGCAGATGTGGCTGAGGATAACCTGAATGTAAGCGCGGCGGAGGCAGCCAGCTCGCACTGTCACCCTTTATGCTCCCGCCCCCTGCCAGAAGCTCCTATGGCTCAACAAGTAGAGCATGGTATTAGCAATGCAAAGGTCATGGGTTCAAATCCCAGCTGTTACCCTTCCCTCTGCTGTAAGGCCCTTTGGATTAAAGCATCAGATAAAAGAGTAAATGTGACAAAATTCCTCAAGTCATTTGACACGATTTTGTTGTATGTTGACCCAAAGGATCTAGTCTAAGTCGCTGGGGGTTTTGCCCCATCTGTCTCACCCTCCCAGATGCCCCATGAATCCACTGTGGAACACACCCACGTTGACGTCAACGACACAGAGTCGCCGCTGGCCACCCGCAACCGCCACTCCGTGGACTTCAAAGACTCCGACTGCAAGAGGAACCAGCTGACTCGCTCCATCAGTGAGATCAAGCCCCCGAACCTGTTCCCCCAGACGCCCCAGGAGATCACGCACTGCCACGATGAAGATGACGACGAAGAGGAGGAGGAGGAGGAAGAATAACCTGTCTGCCGCGGGCGCAGGTGTGATTCCCTTTTTGTTTCTGTAAAGGAACCCCATTGCAAATCTGTAGTCTTGAAGCCGTACGAGGTCTTGTACGTACCAGGCGAACTTCGTACATCAAAATTTATTTCCCCCAGCTTATTGTCTGTGTATCGAAATGAGCCACGTTGTTTGGAGCCGATGAATTAGATAGCCACAAATGAAAAGTTAGTTTGTTTTTACCTATTTTTATTTGTTTTTTCCGTGAGTCTTGTTCTGACGAGTCACTTTTATAAGACCAAACTCATGTGCTTGCTTCATTTTGAGGCTAAAGCTATCCATGCTGTATTATCCCGTCCATCTCGGTGGAAACACTGACTTCTCCACACTAAGATGCTGCCCCAGTCCCCCAGTTCTGTTTACGTTTGAGTCCACAACGTATGCACGAAAAACCGCGATGCAACGATGAAATGCACAGACTGCCCAAAGGCAGAGCTACTCTTTGCTCCCTGTCGCAGGGGGCTGGGAGAGCAGAGGCGATCTTAGCCTTACTGAGGATGTTCTGAAATACAGAACGGTTTAGTCTTACGGTACCGTACATCACATGACTCTCATGACTCAGTAATACGAATGCAGTTGATCCAATTTCCCTGTTGACACTGTGAGAGCTTGATATAAGATCTGAGATGAACACAGGAGCCCAGTATGCCTGTATGTGCGTTTGATATACAGGATGTGTATGATCCATTATTTACGTCCCTTCTAATGGAAAACCCATGTAATGTTAATAACCTGACCTTTGTAACTTGTCACAGCGTAATGATTATGCGTTGACTAACCTTGGTCGTGGTTCAAGGAGAATATCAAGTGAAATTCTAGAGCAGACCACCATGCATATTGGCCACGATCCTGCTCAGTGCCTCATTGTCTGAATAAGTATAAATGGTTATAGTGGAGACAGGCCTATTTTGAGACAGTATTCAGAACAATATTGTTTGCTGCAGTTTTCAAATTCACCTGTACTATTTTAAACAATTTCCAGAAGTTAAAAACCTGCAGTATTTGTAAGGAACAGTTTGTGCAAAATATTTTGAGTACATGGAGTGTGTTTGTTTTCGTTGACTTTTTTGGGGAATGCAGTTTGGTACAAAACCAGTATTTTGTCACTGAGTAAACTGTGCAACCTCCTTGCAAGAGAACCAGCCCCTGCCCGTGCTGTTAGCACTACCACACAATCTGATGCTGTTTTCTATGAGAAGTTAATGCTGCACAATGACTGAGCGACTGACCTGAGATCTGAGCTTACCTCATTCAGACACTATACAGATGGCACCGTGCTCCTGCCTACAGTGGCCGTCATGGCAGCTCTCAGACCTCAGGGGGTCTTATGGGATGCAACTTCTGACCTGGATGTCTGCGGGGTGCTGAGCGAACAGTGACCCAATTTACAGGGTGACAAGGTTCTACATGCAATGTTAAAACTGACAGTGTTTTATTGGCTGTCTGCTACGTTTGCCTTCGTTTAGTAGTTTTCCAGCTACTGGAAAGTCTGTGGAAGGGGGGCGGCATTGACTGTGCATCTTCTACTGGCAGAATGGTGATGGCCAGTGGGGATTTTCGGGACAAGTAAGGAAAGAAAATATATGAAAGTAAATCAATGGGAAACTGCTAAACCGGTGAAAAATGAATTGTTTTAGTTATTAAATGTAAAACCTTTGTATGCATTACATACAAGCATGTATTTTAGAGGAAAAAACTGTATTTGTACCATGGATGTATTGCTGTAAGACAGTAGCAACTAGAGAACTAATTTTGGTTATTTTTTTATTCTAAGCCTAGTCTGCAGATTTCGGCTAGTACTGTAACCAGAACCGTACCCATCCTTCAGACTGTGCTTAAGGGGAATATCCAGTACAGTAGGCTGGATGGATAAAGGCATCGACAGGAGCAAAGTGAGATTTGGAAGCTTTAGGTTACTTCGACAAATTTATATGTAATAGCAATAGCAAGTTATGAAGGTAGATGAATTCATTCACAAACAGTAGAGATGATAATGTGAATGGCCATAACCTTACATTAGAAGTGGCACAGTAGCTCCAGTGCATTTTTGTTTTTATTTAGTTCTCCTGTTCTTCATAATTCAGTTCTGTGTGTATATATATTTAATGTTCTTGCCATATTTTAGAATGAACTTTGTTTTCTCTATCCCTTTTTTAACTGTTACTATTTTGAAGAAGTATATTGAAGTAAACATTTCCTGGAACGTGGCTTAACACAGTGTAACGGTTTAAAGGTGTGCTGCAATATATTGATACATTTTTGTTTGTTTCTTTGGGGAGTGCTTTCGTTTCTTCTGGCCATATCACACTGAGTGCCAATTTTTCATGCCATTTTTAAATTAAACTTTGTGTGTTTAGTTTAAAAGAAATTTGTATTTTGTTTCCAAACATTTTCCATATACAATAAAGCTGTTTAACCCTGTTTATTTCTGTTTTTTTGAGCTTCAGACCGGACACAAACACACATTTATAAAAAAAAATGAACAAAGCTTAGGAGCACTGATTGAGTTTGTATCTATCCATGTTCCAACCACGTACTGTATACATCCTGATCAGGCTCATAGGAAGCCTGGGGTCTATCCCAGGCAGCACAGGACACAAGGTTGGGGAACAACACATGCAGCCAGAGACACAAACCCTGCTCCTAGAGGGGTGAGGCAAGAGTGCCAACCGATGTGCCATGTGCCATCCTCACCTATTATGTTACAAGAGTAATACTTTTAAAGGGGGGAAAGTTTATATCATGCTGAATGCAACTGCTTATACTGTAACACCTGTGAGGATTTTCCAGGTAAGAAATATTAGACCTACCTTTCAGGCACAGGTTTCATTTCACATAATCCTGAGAGCTGTACTTTTTTAAATATGGGGCCTGAAAAACAAAGAGCCTCCAACATTGTAGTTGAAGTATTTCTGTACTGCATATAGCATAGCTTGATCAACACTGAATAACCTATGAATGGAGAGTCAGATTCACTCCTGTATTGTTCAGCCAATATTAAAATAAAAGTTTCTTAAAATGCCCCCCCCCCTCCCCATAGAATTCAAGTAATTCATTAGGAAGAAAATGTGCTGCCACTGGCAATCATTATGTTAATCATTTAATCATTTAATGGCCGGCTAATGTTTCCTTCTGGTTGATCATACATGTACTGCGGAAGACAATTCTGCATATTTAGAGTGATCTGAAATAGCAGCAGTCGGAGGCGAACTCGATGACCTAAACTCACGTAACTTTATTAAGTGATCATTTATGATACATACCTAAGTAGTCATTTAAAAGAACAAGGAATTTTTTGTTTTTATTCCTGTTCTGTTGTTTTCCTCTGGTATTTCCCAGAGGCCTGAGCAGAACAACCGAACAGATAACGTAGTTTGAGGCTTGACTGCAAAAACATGACAAATGTACAAACTCCCATCATACAAAATGAATAATGGAGAATGGTTTGGGGCAACACATACATTAATGACTAATGCCAGGCAAATGGCACATTTTTTGAGACACTTGATTAGAACGTGTGTAAATGAACCTTGCGTGTAGATGTATTATATGAATGTTCCAACTTGTCCAACTTAATTGTTGTTTACACATCATACAGGTTTAAGACCAACACTTGAATACCTCCAACACATTTACCTGCCACAGAAATTGAATGACTAGCAGTCACCATGCAAAACTCAGGACATGAGCTGCAGCAGTACTGGGATTGCAAATGGCTGTAACAGTGCACTTATGAATAGTCTTGTCCTGTCCAAACACTGCCCGACGTTTGACTTATTTATTTATTTTCCATAATTCTTACGTTTATCTTTGAACAACTAGAATACATTGGAATCATTTTAATTCTTGCATATATCATGTAATTAAAACAAACAAAGTAATGTTTGACTTACTGAGAACATTGCACTAAATGGACTAAGCAGCATGACAATCAAGTGAAGATGAAGTCTTAGTTTGTGAAGTGAGAACTGAGATGGAAAACACTGTATTATCCATGGGAGAAATGTTTTGGTTGACCCCATGGTTTTGTCTGGTTCGTTTGCGAAATCCAGGGTATGTGTGTTATGTTTACATTAGACTGATTTTTTCACCATACTGAACAGTCCTGTAACACGAGTTTGACTTTAGCGGAATGTTGCGTTTTCACACGTGCTTTGGGACAAAAGTTGTTTTCAAGTATCAGGCTGTAGGAGGCAGGCTAGATCACATGTAAAAGTTTTGTACCCAACTTTGCATTACCTCTGGCTCCCTGTTGCACTGACGCTAAAGCTAAAGTACCAAGCTAAGCTACTCTACATAGTCTAGCTAGTTGGACCTGATATTTATCTATAATGAGCTAGTTTTATTAAACAGGAATGACAGCAGAACCCCTAGCTGGACATAAAGTTATAACCCGTAATTAGTACATGTGCAGGTGGGAAAACCGTTGAATTCAAACTGTATAAAATAACTTGGAAAAAAATAATCACAAAATTAAGCAAAGGGTACTAATTAATAAATATGTGTAGATTTATAAGGTTCAGTTATAAACCCAACCATTATCAATAAACAATCTAGACAGTCATGGTAGAAACAAGGAATTGGGCAGTGGTATAATTAAAGTAACATTTTTGTTATTACAAGGAAGAGACAAACATCATTTGCTCAGTGTTGACAAAACAGAACTAAATGTATCCAGTGTAAAAAATAAAAAAGGAACTAAACTGACAGAAAATACTGTCTCATTTTCATATATAATTTCATGTCAACATTCTCAGTAATCTTCTATGTACAAGAGGTCTTTTATTAACTCAATTTGAATGCTTTTGTGAATATAATTATGTGGTCAGAATGCTGGATAAATGTCTAAAGTTAGTCAAGACAAGCATGTACTTATCAGGGAATTAGCAGAGGAACACAGATCATTTGACAAAACAAACAAGCGGTGACTCCGGGCGAGAGTCGTTACCACCGATTGTAAAGGTATTTAGCCAGCAGGGTCGCCCATCAACTGCACCGAGATCGTGCTGAAATTAAAGACGCGTCACGTGCTTCCCTCGCAACGAACGCTGATCTTGCAGAGAAAGAAGCAGCAGAAAAAGGATTTAATTGTTTCATATGTAAATATGTGCAATTTACAAAAAAGAGTGATTTTAATAATAATCATTTTATAAATAAAATGTGGTTCATTGCACTTGTTAAAAACATTAATAAGATTTTTAAAGGCAATAATGTCAACTTGATTTTAAAAAGGTGAAAACATTGTTACCATAAGGCTGATTAAGAACTTTGTAATGTATAAATCTGCAACAAAAAAAACCCGACACATACATAGATATGAGTGCATGTCTAACAGTGTGTGCATGTACTTATACATATACACCTAAATACAAAAAATAGATATATACATTTATAAAATAAATAAAATACACATTAAAAACAATACATTAAAACATTCTTGGTTGGTGGTTTTCTTCAAAGCGGTATTTAGCGCAGCCTTTCTGTGCCAGTCTGGTGCCGCCCTGCTTGTGTTCCTCGGTCAACTGTCACACCGCCCTGAAGAAAAGGGGACCAAGCTCTTTGGTCTGGGGGCATGCAGCCCCATGTGTGGGAGCGGCCTGTCCTGGGGAGGTGGGGGGTTTGGGGGCACGCCCCACCCCTGGGTCACACAGGGCCCTCATTGTGCACTGTGTGGTTCGACTTGTTGTGGGCCATGCAGTTCTGCTGCTGGTTCAGCAGGTTGACGGTCTCGTCTGGCTGGCCCTCGTGCAGCTCCGTCAGAGTCAGTTCGATTTTCGTGTATTCGCTGTCTGAGGACTGTGGGGTCTTGTCCATGCGGGAGGCCATGAGGGCGTTCTGGTACTGCTGCCGCGTTACCTGAACAGCAGGGGGCAGTGGTCAGCACAGTGCCACACAATCACCAATTTAGACCACATATAAGTAGGCAGGGGCACTGTAAAGGGGGTGGTGGGGGGGTTGGGGCAATTCCAAATTCCCCTGAGTGACAGGGGCCCTAAAAATTTGGAACATAATTGAATTAGCCTGGGTTGGGGGGCCAAAATCTGTAGCAGCACCCCACGCAGGGGTATAGAAACCTGAGGGATGGGGAGGGTGTGTGGGGGGGGATGTACCCCCAATATTTATTCAATAAGTTTCACATTGATCCTCATTTCTTTATAGTGAACTATGTTTCAGAAAACAAACTGATATTGGGCAGGCTGATTTCTAAATAATGAAATTATTTATGCATTAATTGGCACTGTAAAAAAATTAAAAATCATATAACTGGTGTACCCCGCAGCCCCAGTGGGAATTAAGCATTCACGATGCTGGATGGATGGATAACTGGTGTTTTTAGGAGTGTTGTGTGGCCAGATTATGCTGCATAAATTACAGTGCTACTTTTCACCACTAGAGGCTGATTTGTCCCTCCCCCCCACAAACATAATTTGTTATGTTCCTTTCTCAGTGGAAGGGGCTATACAGGCTGCATTCGTCTTCACCTTTATGTACTGCAGGTCCGACACGGCCCTGACTGAGTAGTCTGGCATGTAGATCTGAAGGAAGGTGTTGAGCTGGTTGTTGCTGCTACCCAGTGTGGAAGTGACGGCATCGATCCGGTCGCTGCGGTTCAGGGAGTCCGAGTGGTTCAGCCCGAATGACCTCGGGGGGGACTTATTCTCTGCACGGCAGAAAAAGCAGAAGGAAAATGCCAATTCGTATATAATGGGGGAAAAAAACTGGACGACATTCTACTCTTTCAATCAATACCCCATTTACCGTTTCATTACTTAGTAATACTTAGGTGACAAATAAAATATAAACAAGTGGCGAATTACAACACAGAAAACTGTATAACTTTTCCTTTCGGCATTACTTCTGCTTAGTGGGTTAAAAGTGATCTGAAATTTACAAAAAAAAAAGCTAATTCAATTAATTTTGCGCACACGAGATGCAAGATCAGGTTCTTTTAAAAACAGATATGTCCCTGTTCTTGCATTACATTTATATTTAAACAAAAACCTATTCAATAATCACCTGACTCAATATTCTGTGACCTTTTTAATGGATTTTCAAGACTTTCATTTAAATTCTTTGAAACAAAGTATTTTTTTAAATGCACATCTGACCACAAGGTGGGGCTCTTTGCCTGCCGATATTTTCTAGTAGGTGAAAGGTACTCCAATCACAGGACAAGAGGAACTTCATTGTCCCACGCAAAACCGCTTCCCATGGACTGGGAAGATGAGAAGATACAGCTACTCTGCTGACTCTGCGGAAAAACTGCCTGGAAAACTAAAGTGAATGGCGAAGCGGAGTGATAACATGACTGTTTCGATGGGAATACTTGGTTTTTTTTTAATTAAAGACAGATTATGTTTTCCCTTCTTAAAAGGAAATGTTGAAAGGGCTTCCCAAGGGTAGCCTCTGAACTTCAATTTGGATGGAATGTATATAATCCCAGTCTGGATGTCAATTTAAAGCTAGGTACCCCATTGCAATATGCCAGGCATGTGAGCTCAGTGTGATTAGGACGCTACCTTTCCCGCAGTCCCAAAGCTCCGGAGCCGGGACTGATGTAATTCGGCAATCGGAAAATTCTTGCTGAGAAGGTCACTATACCAGATGTGGGCCGAGTCAGCCTCTGAGAGCAGTGAGAGAGGCCAGAAAGGCCAGTTCACTGGGAGGGTGTTTCTCTACTGCTGGGCCAGCTGGACACTGTACTTCACGTCCCTGTTTACAGAGCTGGGTGTGTGACTATACATTACCAGCACAGCACCAGGGGATTGAGGCAAAAAAGCATAAAACTGAAAGAATCCACCTATGTGGGGGTTAAGAGCTGTCTTCCCATTGTTCAGTCACTCAGAATAAATTCTAGCTATGGATCACACAACTGAAACGGTTATTTCCCTTCTCATATATAAACATAGTGCTTTAAAAGCTGACAGTGCTGTACGCAATAGTCAGGCTTGGGTGACAACTTTAGCCAAAGTACCTTAAGTACTTGGGTCATAAGGGTGACATAACGTCACTGATGAAACCCACGTACGTCCTCTTTTTCGACAATTTCACTAAAGATGGAATATGCCCATTCTCATCTGTCCACTGATACTTTTTAATCTAACTGACCAATGAAAACACTTTTCACGAAGTCGTCTACTTAACTAGTATTTATCTTTGTACTAGTTAACATTTCTATTCATGACAGTATCTTGCTTTATACAGTATGACATAAATGAACAACTTAACATTGATAATTAGCTACCTTACATTGTTAATTGTGAACATAAAGCAAGATTAGTTTGTATCAAGTTGACGTTGACATTTTTACCTTGCTGACAGCTGTGTAAAGACAGGTATCTATCTGTGGTGTTAAGGGTGTTTCATTCATTGTTCGATTTTGTAGTTTCTGAGAAAATGTGTTTTTTTTTTGCTCCTGAAATAATGTTTTTTTGATGAGATGTGTTTTTCATTGGACAGCATCCATACGTAGATGTAGGGATAGCTTGAGAGACAGTCAGTATAAGAGACTCGGAGGGCGGGAGAAGTCCGCATTTGAGATGTACTGTACCTGGCGATGCTGCCAGTGACTCGGCCCTACTGACCACAAAGGTGCGAGACAGGGACAGAGATACTGGAGAGAAAGGGACAGAGGGACACACAGGGAACCAGTGTCAGAAGAGGAAACTAGAATGCAGTGCAGAGAAACTATCGACCACACCAACAGACAACACTCATGGAAGTTTTGACTTACACAAAAATGTTCAGAAGGTAGAAAGAAAAATGATTGGCTTAGAGAGATAACCAATCAGATCTTGGTCAGATGTCAGATCAACCAATTAGATGTCTTTGTCCCACCTCCTCTACAATTTCATTGGTTATCTCTCTGAACAAATCATTTTTCATTCTGCCTTAAGAACATTTTTGTGTAAAGTAAAACTCACACAAGCACCCAGAACCCACAGGATAGGGCATCAGGCTGGACTGCTCCAGAGTATGGTCAGAAGGTCACTCTGCCCAAGCAAGACAGAAACTCAAATCTTGGCATCGCTATACAAAACTAATGATTCCACACCATTTCAAACTACGATCATCAAATCCTAAAGCAATAAAGTTAATTCAAAATTAAAAGAAAGCTCTCAAATTAAGATAAACTGAATCCATTTCATACAATCAACTTTAAATTTCAAAACTTCTGGATAGCTAATTCAGTATCATTTGTGTGAGGTTGAGTAAAGGTGCGTAGTTCATAAACTGAACAACAGAGGGTGCTGGAGGGCTAGCAGTCATTTGAAGTTTGTGAATGAATCAATAGAAAGTTAATGAAACTGTTTACGTCAGGAAAACTTTCATCGAGCCATAAAAGAGAGTTATTGTCATGTGTCAAAAGAAGCACCCAACATGGAAGCAGGAAGCCTGCTCTTTGTTATGACGCCACTTTGTTGATACTGCCTGTGAATACCTTGACCTTTGACCTACTTGGGGGGGGGGGGGTCTGTAGCCATGAGAGACCAGAGCTTAGAAAAAGAACTGAGTGGGGGAGGTGAATCAGAGCGCTGCAGTACCTGGGGAGACGGTCAGGGCCATCACTCCATAGGAGGAAAACGGTCCGGCTTCAAACTTCATGCCTTCCTTGCCTGCCTCCACCTCCACTTTGCCCTTTGAGTTCACAGAAAACACAAGATCAGCCCACGTTTCCCAAACATGTGCACACCCCTCAGGTTTTTTTTTCTACACATCACTTAAAGTAACTTTCAGGCAGCTCCAGCACAACACACTTTCGGCAGATTTTTTTCTAAATACTAAACTGAAATGTAGGAAGAAAATGATAAATTTAGTAAACATTCTAAATCATGACGAAAGTCTTTTTGCGGCAGCCCTGATATCGACAGCTTAAGAAGTATGGAACTTCTCCATAGTCTAAGCGCTTGTCCTGATCAGGCTTGTTACCGAAAGTCTACGCTGGGCAGCACAGGACAGAAGGTTGGGTTACATCTGGAGCGGCCATTGCAGACATTCACAAAATAACTCGGGGCAAACACTACGGATAATTATGACATGCCAATTTGCCGAAGTGCATGTTGGACTGCAGGAGAAAACCAGAGGAATCCCACAAGAAATAGTGAGAACATGGGAGAACATGTGAAATCCAGGCAAATAGATAGGAGGCAAGATTCAAGCTTCCAACTCCAAGTTATAGTACAAACTACCAAGCTGCCCACTAATGCCAGCATTAACCCGGATGCCAACCATAACCCTAGCCATAGCTTCAATGCCAACACAAATGCTAGCTAACACCCTAATCGTAACTCAAAGGCGCTCTGTAAGCCCTAACCCCAAATCCATCCCTAACTCAAAACTGTACTGTGCTCTAGATGAACCCGAATAGCAATCCGAACCCTAATCCTAATGCAAACCTGAAATGAAAGAAAAAATAAAATATTTTATCACTTTAATTTCAATACCTATCACCAGAGGTTGATAGTTCAGGTACAGAAAGTAAAAATCCGGACACTGATTTTGTTTCAACCAAACAGTTACAGTCACAGATTACAGTGACTGCGGTTGGTTGAAACAAAATCTTAGTCTGGATTTTTACTTTCTGGACCTAAACTATCCATCTCTGCCTATGACTGTTTAACAGTGATCTGATAGAAGTTCAAGATGGAAGATGATATGCGAAAAACCTTTAAGAGTAGGAGTCTCTAAAAAATCTTCTGGGTGGGATTTCCACAGAACGATGCTGCAGCATTCTGACCTGAAGGATGAGGATGAAGTAGTCTACAGGCTTGTTGCGGTGGAAGAGGTAGTGATCTGGAGCTCTCTTGTTCTTGTCGTTGTACTTCAGCTCCTGGATGACATTGGGGTGTTTGAGAAGACGCAGGAGAATCTTCTCAGACATCTGAGTCGGACTGAAGGGTTCTACTTCTGCTGGGAGAGATAAAAGACAGCCTGGTGTCTAAACTGCTCACTTTGACGTCTTAACCCTCCCGTGTCCGGGAATGACTGACAGTTTAATGATGGAGCTGGAAGCTTCGCTTGATCGCGCAATGTTTGTGTAATTTTGTGCAATTTTTATCAGCAAATCATGGCCTAGTCTTGAGCTGCAGGACATAGCTGAGTCAGACAAAGAAAACGGACAACAAGCAATAATATAACTTCCGTTCCTGTCAGCAGGGTTTGCCCTCAGCTGAAAGTACTAACAGAAGTTCAGATGATATCCAGCTCGAAGGCTGGTTAACCTTTCGGCTGCACCTCTAGCGATCAGCATCATGACGAAAACAGGAGCAGCAGAGAGACTTCCTGTGCTGCCCACTCGCAGATCCCAACAGCCTCTCCTCCGCTGACCCCTCAGCAGCCAGGCAGGCACACTGGTGCAATTCAAGCAACAACGCTCCGCACTTGCCTGTTGCTAGGAAACGCAGTGTAGCCAGTAGAAGCTGAGGTGATATTTTAACCTTCGTCTCATTGTCCGTGGGCCTGAAGGCCGAGAAATCCTGCTTCCTTTCCCGATGGGTTATTTTCTTTTTTGTTTTGTTGTCGGCTGCAAGAAAACAAGGTTAGACATACTGGGAGGAACCATCAGTGATGACTGTTGAATTTCAGGCTTTATATGCAGGCCTATTTTTTATAGCCCTTAGTCGTATGTTTGGTATCAAAAGAGGGGAAAAAAAGCTGTCATGTTTGCTGATAGTATCTTGGCTTTTCCAATAACCGAAACACTTATTGAAACAAAACTGTGTATTTATATTTTATGTAAACGACCAAATTAAACAAATACAAAGCATCATAGGATACATTTCCTGCAGTGAAGCAGCTGACCTCTGGAAGTGGAACTGTAGACCAGGAGAGTGGACCAGATAACTTCAGGACAGCTGCTAATTGTTCAGTTGGTATGCAATGATAGGTACCATATATCAGAGTTTCCCAATCCGGTCCTAGGGGACCCACAGTCGGTCCATATTTTTACTCCCTCCAAGCACCCTGCCAGACACTCCACATTTTTGCTCCCTCCCTGCACTCAAATCATGCATTTGCAAGGGCCCCTAAGGTTTGAGGGCCCCCTGTTGGCCACAAGCAGTTACATTACACTACATTAAGGGTGGCCCCAAAGTGACTTTTTCAGTTATGCACCTGAATTAAAAACCCACACCCTGCAGACAGGTATCACGCGTGTTTGTTTAAAATGAGCATTCAGTGGATAACTGTACATATAATACACACTGATTCCTGACCTGCCCATAAACCTTAAACATGTGCTGAATGTGAGATACACAACTGATGAAATTTTGTGTGAGTCTCCCTTCAGGCTGGATTTTCCATCCAGTTCTGGACAACGACCCCTATTGGCTGGTACCTACTATACAAGTCAGTCTCGTCCAAAATTTCAGACTTGATGATTTCTTCGATAACATCCTCCAAGGTGACGATACCCAGGACCTCGTAGAAGGGGTCTCCCTCCCCCTCGTTGTTTACCCTCTGGACGATCGCCAGGTGGGATTTACCTGGAAGAAGACAAAGGCTGATGTCACATTTCAGAAGCCCGTAACATCTCAAAGTGACACTTTCTTAAGAGCTAAATCTGTATGTCTCCCATTGGAGAGCATATTTTATATTTCAAAGCATATTTCACATGAAAAATTCAGCTATTCAGCCAGGAAGTATTTTAGACCAGTATGACATTTTTTTCCCAGTTGAAGAGACTTCCTAGATGTACCATAAAGAAAGTTTGGATAATGATGACCCAGACATCATAAAACACCAAAGCCTCTCAGACTGAACAGACAGATATTTGTCTAGTTTTCATAAGAAATGTTCTCATCAGCCTTCCCAGGACCCCCAGTATGCAGCTTAAACAACACCCTCCACCCCTCACAAATACTGTCAACCAAAACCCTAAACATTTTCCCTCCTATTCTCAGCTTGCTATCGTTTCAAAGGAATTTTCCAGTGGGTAGGCTAATATTAGACCTGAAATTAAGTTTCCATTCAACTTCAGCTATATTCTCACTGATGTAACTGCCATGTCATTTGATTGTCTTGTGGCTAGTAGACAAATTCAATACTGAGAACTCCTAAGCTTCACCCCTGTTCCTGCAGGCAAGAATATGGATGTGAACTCTCCCTCCCCGAATCAATACACCTCAAGCTGGACTCCACACACTCTACCCCACTAGAGTAAAGTTGATTTTGATACTATTTCTGCTGAGAGGGCAGAAGCCATAATTCTCCATTTCCTCTTCCACATCCCTAAGCATAACCAAGCAACAAGAGTTAGCTGTCAGTCGCAAACCATTAGCTGGTAACGTCACACGTATGGCAGCGTTAGGAACTGCTATGATGACCGACTTATAGTTGCTGCTGATTAATTCTCTACAGTTCAGCGCGCAGGGGTCTGTGTAGACTGGGAGAACCACAATGTGCCCACACTCAAACCCAAACTGAATGTAGGTGAGGCGACCGTTCAAACACTGTGGCCTGAAGCTAACAGCTAACAGCAGTACTTGTGAGGTGCTTCGCTAAAAGAGAGGACGGTGCTGACTATGCACTTGTATCGTATTACGTTGGGCTGGGGGGGAAGGCGTTGCAGGCCGATTATTAAATTACACGCTGTTGTTTTCAGCTGAGGTTTCTCCAAAAACAAACAAAAAAAAAAAAACATACTGTACGCTCAGCAATCAACAATGCTGTTTCGATTCAACAATGCTATTTCTGCTAATTGCAAATACATTTTGCAAATACACGGCAAGGTTACGTTACAAGCCACCCTCAACAACTTTTGCTTGTCTAAACAACTCTGTACACAGTTGACAAAGCATACAGGAAAATAAACAGGGAACAGTGACCCTTTTATCTGTTTGCTGCTGTAGCCACAGCTAATTTCAAAGCAGCTCTAGCTTGATAGTGAAGAAGTCAGCTGGTTAGAGACTGAGACGGTAAGTTAGGGACTTATCTCATTAGACTGCTCTTTAACTGCCAACTCCTGCAAAGCGTTTGTGTCTAATCATCCAGTTAAGCAGCTTTACCTAAAGCCTTCACACACACACACAATTTTTTTTTAGGAGCCTTTCAGTTTTAAAGTAGTTTGTAAAACCTGAAGTAGCTCAAATCGATGACTTGGATTAGGTGGTCACCCTGTTAGGGACCATGTCCCTAAAATCCATACCCTAATGTACACTGTTAGTCAAAATGGTAGATCATGCTCCATGTGTAGCCTTCACAGTGAAGCATCCGGAGGACTTTGACGAATGAAATGAATGGGCTTCATATTTACAGGGAAGAAATGAGGCCTGAGGCCTCTGAAGCAGCATCACCATCTCAAAGATGCCAAAGGCAACCATGAGCAGCATAGGAACAGAAGGCGGACGAGCTGGGGATCAGAAGCAAGGTGTCCGGAGGGAGAGCGGGGGCCCTCAGCGGGGACCCTCAGCGGGGCCCGGGGCGGGGGAGGCCGGGGAAGGCCGCCATCATTCCATGTGCTCCCCCCAGACTGACTCTGGTTTCAATTCCTATGTCTCACCATCTCAGAAGAGGACAGCAAACTTTCCAGTTTCCCAGCAAAAACAAATGAAGGACGACAGGAAAATGTGACTAATGTCTTCCCGAAATACTCCAGAGACAAACACGCACTGTTTATTCATAGCTCCTTGGCTGCTACAATTACGCTGCAGTGTGTGTGTGTTTTGTTTCCTTAGGGAATGACCCGATTGGCTTTTCAGGGTCGACATGAGCGGCGGCAGTCAGAGAGAGGGCGCCAAGCGTGGCCGTCTGAGTCAGTCCCTCTCCTGGAGGGGCGGCACGGCGGGAGCACAGGACAGTGCTGGGCTCGGACAGGTGACAATGCATGAAAGTACAGCAGGAATGAAGAAACTTCACTGAAATCTTCAATGGAATCGAAGTTATTTACGCTTGAGGGGCAAACATGACATATTTAGCTTAGACGTATTTTTCCAGTATAGAGCTGGCCCAGTTTTCTGCTATTGCTCCCTAGAAGGATGAACTGCAAATGGGGGGGAATTATAATTAATAATTAATAAAGGAATAATCAAAATATCCCAACTTAGAGGAGATACAAACGCATGAATACGGACAGGAATATTGACAGCACAATTTCACACTCATCGTGCGTCGGAACAAGGCGTCACAACAGATATTCATTTTTAAAAACACATGGATAACTGGCCTGGGAATCACAATGGCACAAGCCGTCTCCCAAACCCACAGTGGGATCAGAATCGCCATACACACACAGCACCCCCTGCTGGGTGGCCAGGGCGATGCGGCATGTGGACTGCCTCCCCCCTGCCCGAGATACTCGCACGGCCTTCTGGGACTTCTCCCGTGCACTTCTCTGCCATTCCCAGCTTTATTTATGGAATGTGATCCGTCATATTTTTCCATAGTGGAATTTCCCTATAAATAGTCGAGGAGGCCGTGGAGTCGTGCGCTGGCCTGCCGTGCCCGTTCGGCTTATTTTGGGTCCAACGAAGACGGTGAGACTCTGAGCAATGGGAAACTAGCAGACAGAGTCGTGTGATCCCCTTCGGAAAGAGCCTGGGGTGAGGACAAACGGCCTCATTCTCTTGAGTAAACGAGGTACCAACGAAACTATATTTGGCTCATAGCCCTTCACACAAAGTCAGCTAACGTGTCTTTAATTTATGGATATAATATGTAAAATAATGTTAGCGGCCATCGTCTCCCTAATGGCTCAATCCTAAGAAGTTACACCAAGCGAGCAGCTCGGCCAGAACAGCAAAGCTGGGAATTGCACGCCGTCCACCGTGCGCATCCAGCGAGCCAGCGGCAGAGAGTCGCATCCTGGTGCGGGCCGGTGCTCTCAGCGGCGTCCCCCCATGTCTCACCGCTCAGTCCATCCAGGTAACGTAATTCATCACAGGGCAGAAAATACCACCACCTGGATTTCGCAGATAAAAAATTAGCTGCAGAATCTAAGATGGCCCGGGCTGTAAATTATTCATCCTTGCCAACGCCAGGTGGTGTCATTTCCTGTCCAAATGACGACTTTAATTACCCGTCCATGCCCTAGGACACAATAAAAAAAGAGAAAAAAAATCGCCAGTGCCGCGGTGCTCCAGGGGCGCAGCAGCTCAGCCTTGACCGGAGCTTTTGCTGGTTTCCGTTCTTTGTACAGTAAATGATAATGGTTGTACATGACAGAATTAGGCCATGTCACACGTCCACACTGACCCAATCAGCATACACCTTTTACATCACATGACCTTTCGCATTACATAAGTAGTTTAAGCTGCACTGGAAAACTTAAACATTGATAATTAATAGAGACATTTGCTTATTGATGAGATTTCATTGAATATCACACCTAGAAAAAACATAAAACGTATCAGATTACTTAGACTATAGAAAGAAATTAATTGGCATTATGGTAGAAATTAATTATGCCATTATGGTAGAAACTAATACCTTAGTTTCACCACAGGATAAATCATTTTGCTTCTCTGAGATGTGAGCAATATGTCAGGCGTGACATTACCAAACTGTTCAGCCGGGTTTTACAGATGTGTTTGTCTGCTATGTATCCGAAAAACATGGGGAGATCCTAATTCCAATATCAGACAATCACAAATAACCCAGCAGCTAGGGAATGGCGTGACGGGTAACGTATCCTCTGACCGTCCTGGATCAGGAAACTGGCCTGACAAACACCCAGGCCTGGAAACACCAGTGACACATTTATCCTTAAGGTTTACACCTCCCATCCCTTCTATTCCCAGGCATGGAGAGCTGATGATGGTTAGCAATAGCGGACTGCACATCACTAAACAGCCATGAAGCTGATAGCGGACTGCACATCACTAAACAGCCATGATGCTCATAGTGGACTGCACATCACTAAACAGCCATGATGCTGATAGCAGACACTACATCGCTTAACAGCAGACTGCACATCTGTAAACAGCTATAACGCTGACAGCGGACTGCACATCACTAAACAGCCATGAAGCTAACAGTGGACTGCACATTACTGAACAGCCTCAAAGCTAGTAGTGGACTGCACATCGCTAAACAGCCATGAAGCTAACAGTGGACTGCACATCGCTGAACAGCCTCAAAGCTAGTAGTGGACTGCACATCGCTAAACAGCCATGAAGCTAACAGTGGACTGCACATTGCTGAACAGCCTCAAAGCTAGTAGTGGTCTGCACATCGCTAAACATCCATGAAGTTAATAGTAATTTCTATGGTTAATGTCGGCGGTCATGGTGTGAGTCCAGTGAAATCAGCATCAGCCGACGTTCCTTAACGCAGTGACATCTTTAAATACCTCATTATGAGGGGAGACCAACAGCACAAGTTAAACTCAGGTCTGCTCATTACTTCTCCATAGGAAACCTGACCTGCGATCGAACAGCCATGAATCTGAGAAGAACCGTAAATGATGCTTGCATATTACATTATAACTCTCAGGATCATACCCAGTGCATTAAAATGACACCAGCTTTCAGGCAGTAAAGGTATAAAG